GCTCAAACAGATGTCGCAAGTCCTGAGCTTGAGCCTCGTCTGGTAAGCGACCCACAAAAATTTTTGTTTTCTGGAATGTGATGAACAAATACCAATAAGTAAGAATGCCCAACAAATTCAAACTCTCTATGTTATCTGGGACATAAAAATTAATGGTTTTCAAGTTGACATTTGTTATAGTTGTGTCACAACTTATGTGCATACTACTAGGACACTAAGAAATGGTTAAATATGGCGTAAAAGACCAGCTGACAGCATTCTTATTCCTAAGTGAAGTTATCTATACAGAACCACTTATACTTACAGGAGGTGTGCTAGACGTTCTGAGATCTGAAACAAAGAACACATCTGAACACAAGCAACATGCCATTACATTTACTTTTCAATAAGCTAATGAGGATGGTGAAGGCAGTCAATTACGCCTGCATTATACAGAAACTTCCCCGGGCAGCTGATACTCTGCCAATCTGACAACCATTACAGAATCTAAATTTCTGGACAATGTGATTATGATTTTACATGTGTAACAGCATCATTTTGTGTGCAATTAAAGCCAAACAATGTCACAGTTACCCAACAAATAAATTAATTATGGCAGGAGTCTCAAAATTTCAACAACTAAAGACTTCACAAATTTAAAAAAACAACAGGAGTTGCACTGAATATGGGGAAAAAATGCACAAAATCTAATCCTTAATTCACAATGAAACGTCTGGGCAGACATGCCATAACTTTCAAAACCAACAATTTTGAAATGTTAGTAAATCAACTGGATTTCCATGGAAATGCTCATCTAATACTACTACTACTATGGCGTAACAGCCCAAACTCGAGCCCTAGCCTCCTCTCTCATCTAATACAGCTTCTTTCAATGAGATAAATCTTGGAACACACGTGTTATGCGCCATGCTTAGACTATACAAGAACGTAGTATCAGAACAAAAGCATGCTAACGAGCATTCAAATTAAATATGCGAAACACCTGGAAGATTTATAGCGACTAAAATCTACGCAATTAACAACACGTTAATCACCTTACCGCGTATTATTGAATACAAATATACACCAAATGTTTGGCTTCTAGATTTACGCCGACCTCGGAACCAATTCAACCCTCCATGCGCACAATCGGTTAAAATAAAACAAGTAGGCGCCATGTCGTTGACTACGTATTTCAACAGCAAAGTATACAATGTTCAAAACTAGATTTAAAAATATTCATTACATTTTTGGTGGAACAGTTACGTTCCATTGATTCAAATATCCCACATGACGACCAAACTTCTATACATACTACTATACATCCTTCATTGTGCCGGTACAGTTAAAGCACGGTCTATTATACGACCAACTACACAGAAACTTCAATAATCCTAGACACTCTTCACATCTGTCACTACAAACAGAATGTTCCAAACTGTAAACAAATAACTTTACATACCAGACATTATTCCGCTTAAAGACACCTTCCCAATTCGACTTTACAATGGCGTCCACCGCGTCCTTTTAGATGGCGCGAAACAGAATATACCCACAATCCGAAGCAAAGTAGAAGCCGACGTGCGTTCACAAACGAATTGAATGTTATCTGTGAACTTCACAAAAACAACATGGAACGAATGTATTGTGCACGTGTGCCAATCTGGTGGAAGTGTTTAAGTTGTCTTATACTAAAACGGAAGCTAAGAAACATATATTGTTAATTAAAATTATTTCATTTGCTATTATTAACTTTTACAAATTTATCTGTCGCGTTCTACAATGTAGATGAATGTGCTTTAAACAATAATTGACAATTTTTGTGAATACATTTAATAATGGTGAAGTTTCCTTGATGTAAATACTTTACCGTAATAGTGTATTATATCAGATATGTCTGTAAATAGTTGTGAAAACTTTCTGTTTAGCCTATTATACTGTATTTTATTATGACATATTTTACATCTATGGCGTAGGTGTATGAAGGATCTATGAAATGTAAACAAATTTTATTCTAAAAACAAACTCATATTACACTCCAAATGGCAAAGGATGATTGAAGTTACATGTCCTCAACGGTAATACCAACATTGCAGTGTATCTGTGGATCAATGATTCACACTCTTGCTACCGAATCTCTTGTGAAAATTTTAAATTTTATAATTGTCTGGGTGTAATATAATTTTAGTATGTTTGAATCAACAGCATACTAAATATACTTCTTCACAACTTAGTTGTAACACAGGATTTGGGAAACTTAGAGATGGGAGAATATTAAAATACAAATTTAAGAAGTAGTGAGATATCTGCAAGGGATTCATGTGGCTCTGTTCAGAGTTATGTCATGTTGCTACTTAGTGATGCAGGAGATTATTTCTATTTTTGTTATTATCCATGTTCTTTTGTAGTATTCTTTCATTATAACTATATTAATATTAGGTTGACAGTTCCTCTGCACAAGAATTTTTTTATTATATTTTCAGTGTTTATTAAAAATCCACTACAGATTTTGACCTTGACTGGTCATCTTCAGGCGATTCTCTATAAGTGTTCGAAACTATTAGGTATGGCTGCTAATTTGTATACATATTTTCTGTTGCTAACTTCACCACATAATGGACTGTCTTAAGCATCTTATCTTACTTTTAGTACAGTGGACTATGTAGGCATAGTTAACAGTGGAAAGACATAGTCATTCAAATATGAAACTTCCATTTCCTTCTAAATACTGATTAATAATACACCAAATTCCACTCCTGTTTAACTGTATTTGTAATTATAGTGATTTTTCAAGAAATGTCAAAAATTTAAAAAAAAAACAATCAGGCATCAGGGTACTGTGTTCAAACAATGGCTACAGTAAAGTGTTGTTAATTTTCAGTTATTCTAGCCTCACTACATATTAAGAAACATTTCAAGAAAAGCAGATCAAGCCCTTAAAAGAACTTCTTGCTGTAAAACCTTAATAACAGCCTTCCCATTATCATATTATTTTCAAACTGTGTAATAGATTCTTCACATTCCCTCTTCTAACTCTCTGTTCAAGATTAAAGGTTATTTATTCAAATTAAACAACATTACTTAATAAAATTTTACTGCACATTAAAAGTTACAAAATGTAAAAACCTTGCCTATTTATAATAAAAGTTTCAGTAACATAATAAACATAATTTTGCATGTCAAAGAACTTCAAACTGATTAAGAAAACCTTGTCCTTATATACATAAATATAGCCTCCTGTCCATCATCAGAAAGGTGGTGAAGACAAGATAATTCCATAATTCTGAAGTTGCTCTCCTTTCCTGTCATCTGGGCACATTGTTATCACAAAAGGTGTGAAGGGCCTGCCATTGTTTTGAGCGCAACAGGATGTGGGGACGGCGATTCTGTATATAATGGACAGCTTGTTCAGGTTTCCAGCAATGTTTCTGGAAAAAAAATCGACAATGTTACTGTTTGGAGGTGATGAGAAACGTTATAATTGCAATGAGTATTCATCATAACCTGTGGTTCCTCTGGAAAGTTACGTCCTTACAGAAATGTCTGTGATTCTAGATGTCAAACATGTACGATGTGAATTACATTTACAAAAGACCTGCAGATTAAATGGAAATGGAATTCAACTCAAACATGACCGGATAATTCATTTACTGGGCAGAACTGAAAAATATCTATGGGTCTACTTGTGCTGAATTTCTGGCATCTTAAAATGTTAAACAAATCTGACAGAATTCAATAATACCACAGAACGTGATCTTCAAGATTCCTGCAACATGTAATATTTTTATTACAGACCAATATTTCAGAGTAACATATAACCTTCATGTTCAGGGTTAAGTACAAGAACGTGGAACTAAAGGAAACCCCAAAAATAAGAACTAGAGCACTGAAACCATTTTGAAGGCAAAGTAATAAAATGCCTGTAAAATATGGAACAACACACGCTGGCCAGCCATGTTACCAACTTATAGAAGTGGTATGTATGCATCACTTATAAGGCTTCCCACTGAAACAGAAGCAAGTGGTAACTTAATTACGTTCCAGTTTACATGAATGAGGACATCAATTTTTACCTGCATGAGGTAGCATCCCACAAGTGTCGCACTGCGCGTACGACCAGCCTTGCAATGAACGTACACTGAGCCACCTGACTCAGCCATCTCGCTGATAAAACTCACACCCTTCTTCAGCTTCTCCTGACATGGCGCCTCAAAGATGTCTCTCGTACGAAGCTGCAGGAACTTCACCCCTCTACTTTCCCACTCCTAGATACAAAGAGTAGATGTTACACTTAAGCACAAAGCTAAGAATTTGCTATAGAAATACCTCACAGATAATATCAACAGAAGCCTGCTACTCGGATCTCTATTGCTTTATCTTTACGAAAATTTTTGTTTTTATAACATGTACATTAGGAAAAAGTCTATGGGTAGCAAAATCAGCTCCACAAGTGACTATGGGACAGATTAATATATTTAAAGTTGACCAAATTCACTGGAAATTCATGCCTTTCAGTACAAACAACAAATCAAACTGCAAACTGAATTTCAGTAAAGACACTTTCTTCATGTCAAAGATAACTATTATATTTCTGTGACTCGAGTATCTTGAATAAGGTAGTGACACTCTCCTCAGCATAACATCTGACAGTGAATCAATTTGCTAACCACAAAATGTTCCCAAAATTAAACTCACTTTTTTGCCATTTGCAAACAGCCAAAGCTCATAGTCTTCGTTCATCGACACTACTGCCTTTACATTCTCTTCATAAATAAGCTGCAAAGATAAATTACAACAGAATGCTAAGAAGTGTATTACTTTACAAGTCAAGAGGATCAGCTGGAAGATCATCCTTTGGTTATGAAGTTAAATTCATAATTTTTTCTGTTCAAATTCTTCAATACCTTTATACAGTTTTATCAATTTTGTTTACATTGATCATTGCATGTGATCCATTTCTATATTTACTTCTACTGGGTATCAAACATGATTACATAAAGTCACTTTTAAACTTGCTATGTTCCCTTCCTTCTTCAACTTTTGGCCCCAGGAAGATCCCTGGTAACCCCGTCTAAAACCCACCCTCGGTCTCATGCTAGATAAACTAGCATATAGTTTTCAACTCGCCACAAACCTAGGTGTTAATATACTGGTATTTAACTCCAAATATGGTGATAAAATGTTGCTAACCCTGGTGAAGAAAACACATCTATCACAACTCAGAATACCACAATCAACATTTTCACTGCCATTAGAGGTTCAAATATCAATACAAAATTAACTGAAATGTGTCAAAATAAATATATGGAGTATACAAAAAATTTCTTAATAGGTATATTTTCCAATATAAACTACTTCAACTTTCATGTGCTAACATTTCATAACCAGACCTCTAGAAGCCACCAAAGAATGCCAATAGATGCATTCACACTCGGTATATGTACAATTCTGGCTCTTAAATGTCAAGGGAATGAAAGAATCCATGAAGTTAAATGCAGATATTTCCCAATGACTGTGTGTTTGAATAAGAGCAAAAGCATACTGTAAGTTGTAAATGACTGGACTATAACCTGTAAACCTTAAAGAGTCCTACATACAGCTCAATTTGCTGATTCCCAAACTTAAAAGAAAAAGATTGGACCTTGGATTGTAAAAGACGGTTCATGATTTCTATACTGTACACACCTACAGTAACAATTTTTCTCCATTTACAATAAGTAAATTAAGAGAAATGATATATTTTCACAAACCTTGTGTGACCTACAAACTTCCTTATACGAAAATTTGTATATAAGACGATTACACAAATTCCGACATACAAAGTTTAAATTAAATTATAAACTATAATCCTACAGGATACTAACGATCGGTATAACTTTATAATACGATGACAAATTACCTTGGAGAAGTTCGATACGGTTTTAAGAACTTTCTTACAATGAGTGTATTTCTGTAACGAATATGAAGTGGAAGACAGTTCTACAACGCCACTGGATTAACTACATAATTTATATCCCACGATGTTAACAAAATTATAACGGATGGTCAACACGTACGTCCTCAATTGATTAGCAAGGTGAGAAGTCCTCACCTGGTTTGTCATTCCACGAAATGGCAGCGCTCCCAAAATTACATTATCGTCAATTCTGTCATACCAATTGCGACTAGTAATTTTTTCCATTATAACATTGTATAACAATGTAGGATAAAATGACAAACGAGCAAACATTACTGTTGTGTGATGAACACATCCACAGAAGTCAACCGCAGACAGCACACAAATTCACTGTCACAACCGAAGCGAAGTTCGCAGAAACCTCTGGCTCAATCATCCTGTACTATATTAACTCACCCGGATGTAACTATCAGATAAACATAACTACCACACACACGTGGCATGAAAGACGAATGATAATGACATGAAACAGGCTTGGTATTATCTGCAGTCACAGGTCACAAAGACTGGTAACAGACATTTTTCCCTGTATCCTTTCCTCAACTTTCCTACGACCAGAGCAGAAGTCCGACTATCGAGTAGAATGTGAAATAATCCAGCATTTCAGTTGCCATCTTCCGGCTGAATATGTAATATGTTACCAACCAACAAAAGGCAAAAGGCGAACTACTCTGGAATTTGCCGTACAACCGAGGAAAATCACTAAAAACTTGTCGGGGCAGATCAATAATGTTAAACACTTGTCTTTGCGTTGACTTGGCTGCTTAATAGGTACAGCCTCAACTGGCCTACAAAGCATCAGTACTAGGTTAACCATGGATGACTTCATACAACTCTTGGTAGGCAAAAGTGCCTTCCAAGTTGTCAAACTTAAGGGATCCCTACACTATTACTATTAGTTAATTTCCCGATGTGGTTAACAACAATGGAATCCTCGAATCCAAATGGCTTTGCCTGTTACAAACTTAACAAAGTGGTCAGTCACTACATGAAGACACTTAGATTGCTGCTTCTGTACATGGCTGTGAGGAGTGAACTCCAGATGGGGCCTGCATATTCTGCCTCTCTCAAGTGGGAAGGGGGTGTAATTACATTTCCCACTATTATATTAACAACATTGTTGTCTTTTTATGAAGCCTTATATAGAACAGGCCATAGCTTTTGTATGGTATTTCCTGTCAGATGGATAGCAGCCCACTCTTGTTCCACCAATCACATCCCACTTGTTACTTATTCTGCTTTGAAAAAAACATTCATTCTGAAGATGCAACTGCAGTACTTGCCAAACACTGAAAAACCTATTATTGAGACTATAGGGACTTGTATCAGCGGTGAATAGATAAAAGTTGGTCTTCTGAGTTGCGACACCATGTGAACTTACAGGTAGATACCAGAAACCAGTTAGTGTTGCCCAACTGATAGTAACATATGATATTTGTGAAACAGTTGCTAGTGACACATGTAACTGCTTACAGTGACAAAACTATGTTGCACTGTTTTCCATGTTGTCACACGATATTCTCTGCTTTTTACTTGCTTAACCTCTTATCCTTATGATGATTGACAATGACAAAAACAAAGCAACAGTGGTTAAAGTCTACTGTTGACAGTCTTTACACACCAAACACTCCCCCACAAGAATCTTGTTATGGCTACTACAGTTGCAAATGGTAAGTGTACTTTTTCAAAGATTAAGCTAATTAAGATTCAATTCAAATCAACATGGATGCAAACAAATTTGATGCAACTGTTAATGAATTTCAATCAAATTAATTAGCTCAGGTTTTGGACCTGAAAGAATTAACACATAACATTCCAGTCCTGATGAAACTGAAGTTATGCTAAATAATACTATTAATTCTTAATACTGCGTGTACACAGCTTGAGACTCTGGTCCAGATTTTGTGTATTCAAAATCAGTACAGAAACACAAGGCCTGTGTGAAGAGTAATGCAGTCATGGAATGGTTTTGAGTTTAGAGATGTAAACTCTTAGCAAAAAGAGAGAGAATAAACCTTCAACTTCCATTAAAAGGCAGGGAATTTGACTACAAGAGCAACCATTAGCTTCTCAAGAAGGATTCTGCTGCAGGTTAGTTGCTTGTCTGCATTGCGGTTTCTTTGTTAAACAGTTGTTGCCGCACTATTTTTCATACATCTTCATATTTGTTTCTTATTAATTTTCATAACTTTTAATGAAAAAATACTGTGGAATAAACTGTAGAAGATTGTTCGGAAAAAGCATACTGCGGTATACAACAGCACATAACAACTCTAAGTCCTATACAAAACTTAATGTTTCAAAAGAATACTAACTAATTTTCAGCTATTTTAAAATTCTGTCTCCTTCACATCAGTGATGAACTTTAACTTGTTAAAGCATATAATAAATAGTTCCTCAGCAGGTAGGAGATTCAACATATGATAATTCCCTGGCACTGCAAACAAGACATTATCTACATCTAAGAACACAATATTTTACCTTTATTTTTACATTCCCAAAGGTCATGACCTACAGATTATTCTCACAAACAGCTCCCTGTGTAAAGGCAGAGCAGATTCTAGTAGACTTGAGATTGTTTCAATTTTTAAGGAAGGGAAAAAAAAGAGCAGGCAAGTCATATTTCTGTGTTCCTTCTGTTACTTCTTTAGTTTTTATACCATTTTTAACGAAGGGAACAACTAAGGACTGCAAACCTGTTACTGGACTCTTCTTTACACATTATTTGTAGATGAATAAAAAAGTTTAGTCTTAATAATTTCTCAAAAAGTGCACGCCCAACTCCAAGTCATGGTTCTGACAATTATCTGGTCAGACAAATTCCTAAGCCATGAAAGTATAGAGAGGATGTGAAGGCCAGTCTCCACACATTTTAGGTCTTCGTAGCAGATGGAGATGAGCAGTCAACTTCTCTGGTCTTTGTTTTTGTGCCTCATTATTATTTTGTACTTGGAAAAGACATTTTGTGTTTAGGTAAAACTGGCAAAGGAAGCATTTAAATGAAGCAGACTGTCCTCTGAGATCATACATCATCATAATTACTGCTATGATAACCTAAAATCTTACCTAGGTATCCCTGTATCTTTGGAGTGGGAGGTTCTTGCTTTCCACACAATTCAGTGCTAGAATATCAGTATGGAAAATATTTCTCAGACAACATGGAAGTGGAAACAGTCACACTCCACTCATAATGCAACAATTCTGTAGAGGCAGGGGCACTCACAAAAAGTTTCATGTCTATTGTATGATGGGTGATTATTTCATGGAATATGACAGGCAAGTCTGGGGAAAAAAGGGCAGGATAATGCTATTACCACACTAGACATTTGCAAAACAAACTGAGGAAATTACAAATACAAATGTGGGAATCAGATCATCAAAGTTCCATCTGTGATCATTTGGATTACTTCACAGTCAAATTTATCAGAAAAGAAAGCAGGTCACAATATAATAAAACTAAACACACAAAAGAGAAAGAATTAAAAGACTATTTAAGATAATACATTAATTATATATTCATTATCCCTTCAAATGTCATATTGTATGATTATTTAATATTCAACACTTACACAAACAATACAAATGTAACCTTTGATTTGACATCTGGTAGATCCTATGGATTCAGGACTGTCAGACGTGTTACAACTGCAACAATCATAATCACATTTGGCCTAGAACACATCCCACGACTCATTAAAATAATTTTCTTCGACACAGTATACCATATTCATAAGCATTTAACCAACTTTGGTCAGTAGTAAGAGTCCTGTGATACTGCCAAGCCAAAATGACTACAGAAAGTATCGATGACTCACTTTATACCCACAAATACCAACAAGTAAAATTCAAATCACAGAACAACCAAAGACATCAGTACATTACAGATTTCCTCTGACTACACAAATGTACATGTCTGAGCATACCAGCAGAGAAAGTACACATACATGAAAGGGGTTAAAATGCTACACCATGACCATCTCATACCTAGTGCTTTTACAACGTGAATACTTCTTGTCATGATCTGAGTTCACTCACAGAAACTCCATTTCACGTTCGATACCAACAAATTTAAGCTGTTCTGTTGGCCCATATCTGAAATGCAAACAAATTTAAAAATAAAAATTTCTGCGAGGAAAAACGTTTTCATACATATGGCATGGATATGCATTAGGATAAGACCAGAAATATGTGATGGGGTGCAGATGCACATATTCAGCCATAAAAATACAAACATACATTCCAGAACACAAGTCTTTGTTAGGAATCACAAAGTGTCCAGAAATACCAGGATACCTGAGACATGCAGACATATTAAAAGGATTTTTTTAACAAATACTAACCTGTAGTCAAAGAACAGTTCCTCCCCTGGCTGGATTGCTCGCTTGGCAAAGATACCAATACGGTGGTCCCCATTCACCATCATCACTTTGGCATAACAATTCGGGTTGATAGAATGGTTAGCAAACCTGATCTTGTTACCCTTACGAGTAGCATCCACAACAAAGTCTGAAACATTTACATTTTTTAATATACATAACCGACAATAAATGTTTAGGTTTAAAAAGATAATTATTTAAAAACAGCCAAAATAAAAATTTAACCCTTTCCACTTGAAAACTATTTAAAACTCAGTATTTATTATACATTCAAACAGAACAGTTTCTACCACTAACAAATTTATATAAGCACAGAGATTAAATATATACAGACAGAAAACAATCACAGACATCTAATTGGTGAGGAATAACAAAGCAATGATATGAAATCAAAACAAGGTCCAAACAAAGCTCACCATTATTGAGGTTGAAAAGAAAGCTGCACATGTATTTGTCATATACTTTTCCTCTTCGGTCTGCCTCATCCTGAGAAATGATCTCTCCGCAATATTCTGATATGAATTCGTTTTTTTGGGCACTGTCCTTCAGGAATATGCCCCACCCGGCAACATCTGATGGTGCCATCAAAAGATGCTTATCTGCCAATCATAATACAACGCACATACTTAATCATTATAATAACATTCCAGCTGAAATAGTAAAGCTGTCCGGCTATACGCCATGTAGGCGCTTGGGGGGGGGGGAGAGGAGGTACATTTTACTGCTCATTCTTAACCTCAGCAATAGATAGGGGTGAGTAGTCAGCATCATGCTCCGGCCACGCTTTACCCCCACAAAAGACCCCGGTACCCACTGGATAAGAGGCTGGGTCGGCCCCAGAACCAGTCTGGATGCAAAGAATGCAGGAAAAATTCCTCTGCCCCCGTCGGGGATTGAACCCCGGTCATCCCGTCCAGCTGATACAGCTGTCCTCAATGTGGAAATGATATTTTATTCCCCCATCCAAAGTTCTGAGAACATCAAGAAAGGCAATTAAAAGCAAGCACTATGAAAAAATACAAGTAACAGAATGCGAATACAATAAGAATTACAAATAATGCAATAACAATGTTTGAGTAAGACCTAAATAATATCAATCAACATTAGATAATTTAATGACAGAAAGAATACATCAGCGAATTCATATACTTGGCTGGAAAAGGTTTTGGCAGGATCTAGTATAAAACAGACTTGGGATCCACCAGTCTAATGATAAAATTATGAATCAGAACACTTCTATTAACAAAGATCCCTGTGCGGCCAACACTCAGATACAATGGTCAGTGGGATATATTCACTAAGACTCTATTTAGCATCTGAAAAAACGACGTCATTTCAAATATCAAGGCAACGTAAAATTTATTTAAATTAACATGTCCACATGGCCGTTCTGAAAAATATATCAATATATTTGATGCTGCACTATTGTTTTTTTCCCCCCTCCTAAGTATACATTCATCTTCCCAGTTGTGATACCATGTGATCTTATTAATGGTTACCAATGTTTCAGAGGAAAGTTTCTCGAACTTCACAGTCAAGACAATCTCATATCTCACACAGTTGGTCCTTCTGTCAATCTTCTATATATACTAAAGACAGAAGTCCAATAGTGTCCTCTTTCAAGACTACGTCATATGTCCTCTGACTACGGTACTACAGAGGTCAACAGATATAGTTATAAAAGAAGTAAGTAATAGCAATTAGTGGTCAGTTCATGCATAAAAGTAAAATTTCTTAATGGAAAATTGTCATGTATTAGAAAAAATTACTGTATGAGACCACAACAGAAGCTTGCATAGGACATAATAATCCTACAATAATCCGCAATACGCTAAAACTTAAATTCAATCTAATATCACTGAAAGAAGAATCAAATCTGTGTCTATACACATTACTCACGTAAACCACGCTGCACACTGACATTCTTGCAGGAAATCTTGGTGATATCAAACTGATCCGCCCCACAAGTCTGGCAGAGATCTGGGTCGCACTCCCGCACAGCCAAATAGCAGGGGCACTGCTTTGTGTTGCACTGTGCCTTGCACCGACATCCTGGAAACCGATTCTGACCTGCACAGAACATTACATTATTGTAACATATCAAAACTGAAGGCACTGGTGAAATAACCAGACAACTCCATTCTTAAAAACACAAAACACTTTGCCCAGAAACTCAAATTTTTTGTTTAAGTCTTAAATGTCTGTAAATAACAAAATAATAAGAATTTATGATACTTTTTACTACAAGAAAGACATAATGTTTAATTTTTTATTAATAAAAGTTTGGATGGATTCACCAAATGTTGACTTCTTGTTAAGATCCATCGACATAAGACCATAATTAAACCACACATGACGCAATGATATTAAAAATTAAGAAGTATTAAGCATTTTTTTAATGACAACAAATCATCTGAAGATGGAAGCAGAACAAACTGAAATAATATGTATATCAAACATACCTCAGACAATGTCCATAAAAATACTGGTACTATAATGAATTAACCAACATCACAAACCTATAGTGAACCATGTGACGATTCAGAATGCAAAGTAAAGAATCAGCGTTGGATTCTCCCGGCCCTCAAACCAAGACCACTGTCACAGGAAGCTAATTAAACAAGGCCTAAATTTAAAATCATAGTTCAGACATAATTTAATGTTTTGTATTCTTAAAATATGGACATCTGGACAAGTACTGATTGTGGTATTATTTAGCAGTTGGTACTTACAGTCAGAGCTGCACTGGCAGAATTTTTCACAGAAGTTCTGTGCACCGATGCAGGGGCATAACATCTGGTCACAAGGTTGATTTGGATGGTCACAGGGAGTGAAGTTGTATACATGATTTGAACTCGAGTCCTTCTTGAGCTGAATCTTACGACAGTGCATAGACCACAAACGATGCTTTTTCTTCTTCTTGCGGGGCGGTGTGAAGTCTTTCAATGATTCTTCTGTTGGAATATCAGCAGCTTCCTTCTGGGCAAATTGATAAACCTGCAGATACATTATAATTACTTTATCTCACAAGTGCAGGATATGAGCTCGGACTTTGAATACACATGAGCACAACTGCATTAGGACCAGCAACATTTATTAACAATACGGATCATGACCTCATACATACAACTTAAAATCTGTTAGCTACTAAACGAACTCTACTTGCCTATAGTGTCATAGTAAATTTCATAGAAACATTTCTAAATGAGATGCTGCTCATGGCACGCATTACTGGAAAAATTCATAGTTCACATTATGTGAGATCAGGTCAGTAACTGCTGACACACACCTGCTGACATGTTTTGGTGAGCATTATTTGAGAGATAGCACAGTAATTGCTGAGGAAAACCTTGTGCAGGGCTCGAAACAGTGACTGGTCAGCACCAGTCCATTCATAATTATCATCAGCGCCCATGGTACCCAGCAGAGAGAACGAGGTCGTCGTAGACATCAGTTCCTGACCCCCACTACCGTCCTGCACTCCTGTTTTCAGTACAGCAGAGCCACAGTCCTTCCTGGGGTTACGCTTGAACTCTAGGAAACAGAGGATTTTATGTAGGATTTGAGGTTTTCACAGCAGTGGGTATGAATTTTGCTGTCTTCTGGGTTGTTGTTCCATGTAGTATCAAAAGTATTGCAAAGTATCAGTGCAGATTTTTAAACGACAAATACAAATATAACAAATACTTGCACGTTACCTATTGAGATGTGTAGATGTAAGATATACACGCAATAAGATGTGAACCTATCATGTTTCAGCCGCAAATGGTCAACTCAATTAAGAAATGGAAGGAACAAAGAAGATTCCTATTCACCTTTGTCATACTTATTACTGTCATTACTGTCTTCAGAGCTGGCTTCATTTCCAGAGTCGACAGACGCCTGTTTGCGCACCTTTCTAGGTCGCTGCTGTGCTGACGAGCCACTTATTAACTTCTGCTGCTCTCCCACACCTGACCCCTGTGACTCTATGTTAGCATCGCTTTCTTCCTTTGTCCGCTCAGCAATGGCTGCCAGTTTCTCCTTCATTCCTTCCTATACATCAAGTTCCATTTCACATCTGTTGTTAGACCTTTCTCTGCTAAGAAAGTAAATATGCTATGAGCAGAAGCAATTATCAATATGCTAATTTAATAAGTTTGCCCCTTTGCAGGAACAATTCTATTTAACAGATTATGTTTTCAGTTCTTACATCATGCCAGTGGATTTGTTACAGAATTTTAATGATAAATTTTGGTTCAGTGATACATAATTTTTAATTTTACTTCAAAGATTTATTTTTAATTCCACTTTGTTTAATTACGCTCGGTGATTATATCTTATCGTACTGACGTTGTACAGACTGTGATTTAAATGTAAATACCCCAACTGGAAAAAAAAAAAAAACACTTTTATTAAGTTTTGGGTAGCAGACACTTACCAAGTGCATATAGCAGTCAGGTCCACAAGGGTCACAGAACGGCTTCAAATCAGGACCCTTTCTCTTGTGAAGATTGGGTCCTGGGTGGTAAACCTGGAGACCTGCGTGCAGACCCATCCTCATCAACACAATGAATTATGATACCTATTTTCCTTCAGATGTCTCCTTTTAATTATTGCAGCTTGGAAGTAATAATTCATGAGCACTGTTTTAGAATAATACACGGTTTCTGTATTGGGGTAAATACTCACGATGAAGGAAACAGTCATACTTGAAGCACCGCCGGCAAAAAAGTGTGTGAAAGGAATGCATTGTTTGTTCACGTGGAACTGATTCTGCTGTTGGACCGTCAATGTTGGGTGTGCATTCAGGTGGAAGTGCATTGGGATCCAGTCGTTCTGTCAGTTCAATGTATCTGCAAATATAAATAGTGTGATAAGACTGACAGGACAGTTCTGAACAGACACCTTCCAGTTTAAAGTACATATTTACAACAACATATCTATACGCATGGAATGATAATGATCATGCTGCTCATGATGAAGATAATGGAACACAGTTTAAAGAGGTGGAAAAGTCATGTACTTATTTATGTACTGCAGTATAGCTCCACATATTTTAACTTTGGCAACAGATGAACATGAATGATCAGCTTCATACCCTCGCCACTTTACTCACAAGAAAATAATCTTCTGTACTCACCGGATAGGAAGTCACAATGCAAGTCAGCTTACCGCAGCTGTTCTTACACTTAATTTAATTTAGCAACAGTTGTCACTTGAAAATATTCAGCAAAGATTTCAGGTTCTAAAGAATGAAGGTAGTTGTTTTCTGATATGCTACACCATGGAGTCTGACTGCCCTGATAATGGAAGCAGCGAACACCTCTGAAACATCGGTAAATTTCTACCAGACTACATGGCGAGATATCCCCATCTTCTGGAAACACTCACTTTTCACGCAGTTCCTCGGGGCGTCCCTTGTCAGGAAACATGGCTGATATGGCTTGGAATATCACTGAGTGAGGGAATGGTTTGGCTGCACCAGCTGCCCCAACTGATGACCCTGACTTGGACCCTCCTGCACCTCCTCGATTGCCCAATGTCACACTTCCACAGACAGATTTCTCTTTTTCTTTACCATCCTTTTCTCCACCCTTCTCCTGGTTTGCTTCTTCCTGGAAATGAGGTTTTCAGCTTTATGAGCCATCCATGTCTTTACCACATTTCATGTTGTTCCACTGAACTCTTAACCTGGACTGTCAGAATTTGTACTTTAATGCACAACTCAATTCCTGCACATGTAAATACATTACTTTTGCCACTGAAATTAAATATGTTAAGAATTAATTTAAAAAAAAATCAATATTACAGTACATCTGCATGCTTATTAGAACACTTTTGTCCATAACACACAACATTTCAATGCTGTGGAACTGTTTTTTTTCCTCCTGAAACAGTGATAAGAAGTGAAATAAATTTTTGAATAGTAAATCCTCAATTTAAATGAAAAGAAATTGCCTGAAATAAATTGTGCGTGACTCACATCTTTATTCTGATACTGCAGAAGTGCATTTACTAATTCAACAAAAATGGCATCATCGATAAATCCTGCTTCTCGATCTCCGTGCACTTTGCCATCATAGTTCTTTATGAGTTCTTCTATAAATGTGCCATCCTGATCTAGGATCTCATCCCCCATGTATGGAATGTTGTGTAGTACAGTCTCATCCTCAACCTGTAAAATCATCAGATCTTGTTACTAAAGCTTCACGGCATGGCAACAGTTTAGAAACAGGGTGCAAGGTAATATTTTTAGTTTTATCAAGTTTGGTCTACTTAGAAACTGACACCACGGGTTCATTAAGTTTTAATCCAGTCACATTCTTTTTGAGCCAGCTGACTCTGGACTAGCTAAAAGAAACGGTTGAAAAATACTTACAAATGATGACGTGTACATATGTAAGATGGTTGATTATGGACTAGTCATCGCGTGATCCATTTCTGCTTCCAAAAACCTTTAATAAGTGGAACACTGAAAGCCAGCAGTTCAGTAATACAAACTTCCTGACTGGAATAGTCTATTTGTGTGAAAAAGTCACACGTTATAATTTTTTTAACCTGGATCCTCTCACACTGGAGAACAGTGACATACAGCTCACACATTCCTTGCCCATATTTTATTACTTCAGTTACTCGAACTGTCTACAGTAACAGCATACGTGCCGCTAAGATATTATGATATTACCGTTTTGTGTATTGATTTTGCCGAAGAGCGGAATTACATGTGAACTTACCTTATGTATTGAATACTGGAACTGTGCAATTAAAACTGAAATTAATTATATGTAACAACAAAAATTAAGTAAAAGATGTGATTATTCATCACTGTACTCAGCATTAGCTTTCTTTCAACAAAATGCCACAGTTATTTATCACCAATTATTTTTTTAGAAGTTGTAAAAACTGTTCAAGTCATCTCATAGCTCACCATAAAGTTCTGTTGAATGGGTGCCCACGTATACATTGTTGGGATGGGCGTGACAGCATTGATAATCTTGACAGGACTGTTCTGCACTTCCCCATCAGAACACACCACTTCAGCCTTCTTCATGCAAGCAGCATGGAGCGGAGTATCCTGCAGCGAGATCCACACTGCCTTCCCATCTGTCCATCGCTTCTGTTCTGCCATGAGAATGTCTTCAGGATCAGAAAAATGCATCTTTAAGCTTTATCATATTCTTACCTGAAGTTTAGCTACGGCACTGTTCTTTTATCACTTTTGTACTTCCACGATGGAAACTGGCAACAAATAATTTCACTCACCTGTCATTTGCTTTCTGTTCATATTCCAAGCAACCTTTACTTCATCAGCACGCTTGTAGCGCTTCACCTGACGCAACCTCATATATTCGGACTTAACTCGCTTCTTCCATTCTGCTGAGACTTTCACTTTGCTAGACATTATGAATAGTGAGTATGTCACTGAGGCAATCTTATATTATGTACGTGAGCAGTATACAGAGACTGTGAACACAAAAAGGAACACACAACAACTTTACACACATAAGAAACACTTAAAAGCAACAGTCCAACTAAGTAAGAACAGCTGATGGCAAAGTAGAGTCTGTGTAATCGACACACCAAGTATTGGAGCTTATTTCAATAATCAATATAAAATGCTCAATCTTCCAGCATAGCACAAGTTTTAAGAAACTGGTTCCGCCCTTCAATTAGAAATCATTGATAGTTAATTGCAAAATAATTTATTGGAAAACTATCAGTTATATGTCGGAAATGGAGTTTATTATTCACCCCCAATCTTTTGCCAAGGTATAAAAAAGACTTTTATCTCCCCAAATCTTTTAACACGTTAAGGGCGTACTGCTTAAACTGGTCAAAATTTACCTATGGATAGCTTCAACTTCCTGCAAAACGTTTGGCAGGCATATAGCAATTAACGTACAGACATGATTTATCAACATAAAAAATTAAAAGCAATTACCCTCAGCACCTAGTATTCTTGAACACTATGCAAGCATCATGAATCGCAAGTAAGTTTAATTATGTTTAGTTTGCAAGATAATTAATAGCAGTGCAGCAAAAGGGAGAAAGCCACGATTTCCACAGCTTATTCCAAATAGTCTTTATTGTTACAAGCTGAATCAGACAATAAATTAAAGACTATCTTCAATAACTACTTTATCAACTCCTTTCTTTCCATAAAACCACCGACCTAATACATGACATATCTGCAAACAACAAAGATAATAATAAACATCTGAAACACAGAAATGCGGGTCCCATTAACGCCCAGTTTCTTATCCACAGACGACATTAAACAATTGAGTAGAGAAGAGTTGATCACAGACTAAAGGTCAAATGAAATAATGTTATCTTAAATCGAAAAACAAATATTCGAAACACTATCCCTGAACTAAACTCAGCATATTTGTTATGAAATCACAAACTTTAAAGTTAATCTACTTTGCTTGCTACCATTTGTTCATGTCAAAACATGTTTTTGGGAACGTCAACAAACAGCAAAGATCTATTTCAAAAAATAAAATGAATTCTCTAGGCACTAAATGGAGAGCCTCTAGTAAGTGCAATATTCCAAAATACAGTCGTTTTCAGACTTTTAAAATTTACTGTTAAAATGAAATTAATTGCTGTCGGGGTGTTGAAAGGTGGTTAACATTGTTCCCGACCGAGCTGCTGCAAGTGATTAGAACCATGGTTTAACATCAATTATTACCACCAGGTAGCGATGATGATGAAGCATTTAGCCGTCACTTTCTTCGTTCCTTCCTAATCTGTGGTTGATTAACCAATGCAATGCTGTCACACTACAAGCTACGTAGGCTCACCATGAAGCTTGGTTCTAGATAGGGGCGAGTGGTCAGTACGCCCCGGTGGTGCTTTACACTTGCAGGGGCTTCGGGTTGAATTTGGCAGGAAGCTTGACCGGTCTTGACGCTAGAAAAAAATCTTTGCCCCTGCCGGGGATCGAATCCCGCTCTTCTAGGACGTAGTCAGAACAGTGACTGAGCTATCCCGGTTCCTTCTGTAGCGACTGACGTTGTTTTTACATTTTAACTTTATATTTCTTTTCCTGTAAAAAATTCACTCCCTTTGCTTCTTAGCTTTCCTGTAGTTCAGTGGTTGACGCCCCAGTTCGCCTTTGCAACACGAATATAGAAGCTGCTGTTTGGGTATGTGGGTGGGGTTTGTGGTCTATGTGTGACCGTCAGAGATGTTGCCTGGGTGATGTATGTTGGTAGAAAAGATCAATGCAGGTGAGTTCTCGCATTTTGTATTTTATTGTTCTTCCTAAATTTCGCCAAACAAGTGACATGTTTGAATTTATTATGTGTGCGATAACGTCAGTAACTCTACATTTGGATCAATGTAGGTGAGTTGTGTTTTGTATATTCCTTAATTTCGACCGACAAGTGACATGTTTCAATTGATTTTATGTGTGATAACGTTAATAACTCCACATTTGGATTATTACGCAGTAACAATATATGTTCATCACATTACCAGTTTTTTATGTAGTAGCATTAGTCACTAAAAGGTAAGGCACATATATATATGTGTGTGTGGTGTGGAACGTATTGGTTGTTCACTGGATTTACCGTGTAGTGTTTAATGTACCGGTAAAGAATTAAATGGAACATCACTTGCCATTATATTGCATTCATTATGGTAGTTATTGCCACATAATTAAACGGACTTCCCCAGTCTTGTTTATAAAGCATCATTTCTCGTTACATTTTTAACAACGCACTTTGAATTGATTAGGTATGGATATTCGCGTGGTATCACAGTGCATGTCATTCATGTTTAAAGATTAGTGACCCAGATACCAAAACACCCTTAAAAGTCTAAAAATATGTCATGCCAATTTGTACTGACGATTGAAATATGGTAACTTTACTAGTTATAGTTGTTGAAGTTATTTTATATGCCATTAGTTGCACCAACTCCATGTTTATAATTAGATTAACCAAATAAAATGGGTTAGAAATCTCAAAAGAAATCGACCTTTATTATGTGTTTGATGCAGTTTATGTGTGATCCAGTTGATGTTTATTGCACTAGTAACCTCTAAACTGTTAACCCTAGAGCTATAGTTCAGCTGGCAGCTACATAACATGGGGTTTGAACCCCTTATTCCTATATGATGAAGATTAATGTTTTGTGTCTTCTACTGCAGACTGATGAGAAGTAACAAGTCTATAATGGGTATGACTAGTGATGAGGAAGGTGAAACATCAGCAAAAACATGCAGGTCAGATGATTCAAGTGAGAGACCTCTCAAGAAAGCACGGTATGTGTGGCAAATAAAGGGAAAATACCATTTAAAGAAGCCAGAGAATACAGAAGGGGCCAAACTCTACATTGCTGATGAAACCAGGGATGGATACACGCTTCATCCGATTGAAGTGTCACACCATGAACCTGGAACACAACGACATGATGGTTGCACTGTAGATTTAGCAAATAGTAGTCAGATTTCAAAACCAGATCCCACACGTGTGCTTTCTCCAGTCATGTCAACGATTCATACACCTATCGAGTCAGAAGACTTGAATCCGAGGCAACTACAGAAGTGGCAGGCCAGGCAGGTGGCAAGGTGTTTTGTTGACAATACTATCAATCAAGTTCTAGAAGATATGGGCTTTATTCCATTGCCTGTCGATGCAGACGATCTGATGGAAGACTTTGCAATGTCTGAGCTTCGCAGAAATGATGAGCACCTGGAGGATGCAGCTGTCAGGATGGCAATTCATAGTCACGGACTTCAGAGGGCAGTGGCTGACATGAGGGGGGGAAACCAGAATCTTAACTCCATTGCTGTTTCAGACACTTGTATATATAACTTCTCATTAGATTCTGTGGGTTTGCAGAATGGTTTCATTAATGATGCTGTGGATCATGTGAGTAGGTGGTACAGGCCAGAATTTTGTAACCAAAAGTCTCCCCAATATGAACAATCATTGGACATGAAACATATGTTTAACGCGGGATTTGTACAGGAAGGGTGTTCTGTTGGAACAGATTGGAATCAACCCGGTATTAGTCTGAAATGTACCAGCAACGTGAAATTCATTAACAGTGGCGAGATGAACAAGATCACCACTTCGTGTGACGATTCAGCAAAAGATTTGGACTCGGAACCTGCTGATGGTGAAACAACTGGAAATTCTGAAGAGCCTACATTTACCAGTGATATGAATGTGGGTGATGATGATGATGACGACGAGAAAAGGAATGCTTCTTTCGAGCATACAAACTTCATGGATAAAGCTGTTGCAGTTGCCATACAGAAGAAAGGGCTGAGTACTCTCAGTAGTATTGAATATGGCTGAAAAATAAAGTAAAAATAACGTGTAGTACTATTGTGGGTCCTTATAGAGTGGATCCGAATGGTTAAAATGTATTTTAAGTCAGTTGCTAGCAGTGATGAATGTCAAGTTGAAATACAGTAGTTTGTGATTGCCTAATTGTTAACTGTTTCTATTGTCTACATTGGCCTGATTTTTAAGTATAATTGTCATTGTAATGTTGAACTTAGTATGTATACGTTGTGCTTACGACCTTAGACGTCCTCTCACGTAGTTATTCATCGTTTCAAGAAGCCTTAATCTTCAAACTTTGACACAGTGTATACTCTGTACGATATAAAACTGTGTATGTAGGCATGTCTGAGAGATTATAAACTTTTCCATGCTTTATGTGAAATGTATATGAGCTTCAAATTGATTGATGCTCTGATAGTGTTTTGTATATGATATTATCAGTGAATCCTTTCTTCATATTGAAAACACGTTTTGTAACTTTTCAGAAACTGAATTTGTAAGTTACCACTGAAATACATTATAAAGAATGAGACTTTTATACATCTGTCTGGGTTGAGGAAAGGCTGCTAGGAGTGGCATATCTTGTATTTTGAGGGGGTACTTTGGAAAGTCAGCTGACAAGAACTGTACATTACAAATATTTACAAATTATCTATGCTGTTTTTGGCCCTCTCATTACAAAATCTACGTCTGAATTAAATTTGTTCCTTCATTCACATGTAATATGGTGATTGGCTGAATCCACCGACTGTTTCTGACTGGGGGCATGAATGGTGAGGAATATTTACACCGTGTTTCACGGAGGCCATGTAGTGATACATGTCTTCCTGTTACTGTGCACATCCTCTAATGAATTTATAACTTTACGCACCCCACGAGAATAAGTGTTTAATGTGGTTGTTTAATTTTAGTAAGATTTTACTCTCATTAATGAAAGAGAATTGGCCCCAAGTGTCACATGCAAGAAAGAGACTGAGTTTTCAAGGCATCCGAAGCTTGAAGCAGACAACAGTTGGCCAGCCCATACCACTGTCAATATGTATGAGAGATTGGACTTAACATGATACAAAAAATCATTGGAAAGTGCAAGCAATCTTTGTATCTGCACAATAACATATGTTCACCCTTCATCTTCTGAGATGCTAAAGTGTAGTTCGAGTGTACCACCACTTCAGTTTCATTAGCCACAGCTGCAACGTGATTTCTTTTCCCTCCTCCCACACTGATTGGACCCTAAATAACAACCACAAAGTAATGTTGAAATAAAGATCAATGGAAGGGGTTTATTACATTTCTCAGTTAACAGCATATAAGTGATATCTAAAGAGAAACTGTAGGATCATTATAAAGTGTTACTGGAGAATAAATGTGTATGATCCATGTACTACCCTCCATTCTGACTTGCAAAACTTGGGAAAACTGCAAAAAGTTTCCCAGCTGAGTGAGAAAATTCTCAGAGATGGTGACAATTTAAAAGTTCATTATGACGCTTTGTTTTGTTTCATAAATACACAAATCTCAATATTCAGGTGCTGTACTTACATTTTTTTAAAGTATTAAAGTGTTTTATGAAGAGATATCTGTAGCATGTATTATCATGTGGGAATTATGATTTCATAACATTTATGAATAAAACTTCATATCTGTTTCAAAAATATTCCTTTCCCTTTCCTGTGTGCTGGACTTCGTCGGACTTTTGGTCCGCACAAAGTTACGGCAAAGGGTAACAGTGCAGGGCATCTAAGATACACTCCCCTGCCACCTGGTGTCCATGCTTGAAATCTGCATGTTTTACCCTCACCAGATGTTACAGCGACCCAACCTAAAACAGATAATGTCACAAAACATAACCAATGTGTCCGTGTTACAACCCAGAATACCAATATGGATGTCCTTACTTAGAATGGACCTTAATAACAGCTGCATTCTTGTAAAAATTTGTTATTTAAAATTCCAAGGTAGTGTTTCATGTTGCATTCCTGTAAACGAACCTGCAGAGGACAGCAAGATGTCCCCACAGCTCTCCTTCCACCCAATGCCATGGAGTTCAAGGATCTCTGAATGAGACTTTAGCATAGGCCACTGTGCCAGACGGGCTGGCCCACCAAGCGGAACACCAAGAAACCTACTCCCCAGCAATGTTTTGTAGAGACAATCTGCATCGTCGATCCTACAGATTGTGATGGGCAGGCTCCCAGATGAAAACACTGTCATTCTGTGAATATAATTTATTTTATCAGTTTCCTTAACGGACTGGATTAGAGTTAACTCAGCTGGTTAGGTTGTATGCAGCTTTCTTCAAAGAATCCAAACACAAACTTAGAGAATTAAACGTCAAACTAACCCATACATGATTAGTTATAATTTCACGGACTTCATCCACTATCACTGAAAGAATTTATAAATAACTGTAATGCACCTTTTTTGGAAATATTTACATAAATAGGATATTGGCATTTCAGATGTAATGGCTCTTGGTTATCTGAATTAAACAGTATAATTTTCTCTACTAATAATGCAGTAGTTAAAACTGTCATGACCTGCTTTTCTGGAATTAAATAATGGCACTTTTACCAGAGATGGAATGGCTACATTACTTTGAGGTTCCTTCGAAGATAGCTGGAGAAACATTGCTTTAGAACGGTGGTAAAATGCCTGTCTATGCAGCACTGAACACAGAATACATCCAATTCATATTCCAAAGAGGATTAAAACTCACTACTTGAGTCTGTGTGATCTAAGACTGTAACACACCTTACACTCTGCCATAATCTATATCAAACGCACTTGTTTGTTTTAATTAATTTAAAATCTGCACAAAAATAAAACCAATACCTTAGTACAATGCATACTTTATATAACACCTCTGTCTACAAAGGCTGGTTGGCTCTTATTTATCTGTAAGTCAAACAATTAACAAACCCAGTTCCTTCATGGAACTTTGTTTCTATTATTTCCTGGTATTTCTCATAGCTCACTTAGATACCTGACATGGCCAATCCCTTCAACATAGTCGAGGCGTCCTAGACCAGCAATGAATAGTGCCATATTTGGCTGCACACTAAAGGTCCTCGGAAGAAGCAATTTCTTGGGTAGCGTTTTCATCAATTCCTCTGTTGTCAGTAAATGGATTACCTGCAATATGGTACCAAATTTCATCAGATCTGTATAGTTCTTTAAAAAATATACTGTGTAATTTTAAATACATTTTGGTAAATAGAAAAGATGGTCGTGAATAATTATTATTTTATGTTCACGTGCTTGCACTTTCACTACAAACCTGGTCAGGATGTACAACTCCTGGGGTATCATAGCACCATTTACTTTGTGCATAATCTTCATCTGAAGGATCCAAACCAGACAAGGGTCTGGACCCTTCTGTGTAAGTTTTCATGGAAAACTGATCCAGGCCTGAATCAGGCCTCTCTGCCTGGAAGGTCCTTCCAATGTGTCCTGAAAAGGGAGTATGAATAAATGCTACAGAATGATGTAAGAAGATGGTGCCATGAGATTTTATGTTTTCATGGTGGTGAGGAGGAGGAGGAGGATGATGATGTTCTTCTGGGTTTTGGTGCCATGTCGACTCAGCATTTCCTGACAAGTCGACACAGTCCCAAGCACCCAGAGGAACAGTATCATCAAAACAGTACTGTATTTAGTATTCAACAAAATCTGGGACTTAAGCCCAATGCATGAGTTGCATATAGTTTTGCAGTTTCTTATACAGTTATTACCATTTGTATAAAAATCATATTAAACATTGCTGGTACATGGAGTTCATTTGTTATATGGACGTTTCAACATAACTGCAGAAATTTTGAAAGTTCAGTCCACAAATTAACTGGCTGTGGAGTAAACAGTCAGAGTTTAATTCCTGGTACAAGCACTGGGATCTTTCTCTTCACCAAAGCATCCAGGATTATTCTGGGATCCACTCAGCTTCCCACCAAATGTCATCCAGTGGTTAACATTCCAGCTTCAAATCTCAGCCTAGAGACCAGCTATCCTGACTGGGGTTTTCCTCAGTCCCACCAGGCAAATGCTGATAGTACCTTAAATTAGGCCACAACTGCTTTCTTCCACATCCTTTCTAATTCATTATTCACTATCATACTCTCATTCAGTGCTATATACTCTAAGTTACTGAAAAAACGTCATTAAATAAACTATAAATAAATAATAAAATCAAGTAGTAAGGGTTAAAGACCACAAAGTAAAGCTGATCACTAACCATCTACTGATGATGTCTAGAATGCATGAAATTTAATTTATGTGCTCTTACACCACGACCACATGGTGGGTAGCTAAAACTGCAGACTTACCAATGAGAGCCGGATGATTTCGAGATGTATCATCTTTCATCTGGGTGTAATGCAGCTTGCGTTGAGCCTCAACCTGCTTCCTCTGGGAAGTGATACGTTTAGTCCGCTCTGCTAAGCGCCAGCCGGACGGTCGTAAAATAGGAAACTGTACAACAATCAAGGCACTGAGAAATACTGAATTGTTTGTCTGTATCATTAAGTATATTTTAAAAACTTCTTCTCACATAGAAAACTGATGAAAATGCTTTTGGGAAGGGGGGATACACGTACGATAGCTCAAGGTGAAACGAAACGGCCACGAGTTCAAGAACCCTAAATCACTAAAGACAGGAGAACAGAGAAAACTGCAGTGAGAATGCGACTGCAAAATGGCATAATCATTTTGTCCACCAATTCAAGTCCATTATCATTGTTATCCATTTCAGGCAAATGATGGGACAGTACCTCTATAACAGATTAGAGCCATTTCACTTCACATCATTCCTAATTAATCACAAACATTCTCTCATTTGACATAAAATGGCCCAAGCAGCTGAGAAAGTATCTTTCAATGAACAAAGAGGAATTGTGTTCCCTTGGAGCCCTAATGATCAGTTACCTTGAGGAGGTTCAATGTTGTGCCTGGCCAGACAGATGTAGTGGCTCTTTGTATCAGATCGACCGCCTTAACTTTGCAGTAGTCTGACTGCAGAAGGGCATTGAACAGGGTTGATTTCCCCACATTGGTGCAACCAAGTATATACACATCACCTATAACATACACAGTACAGGGTTCAAGTCAGGCGATACATGACAAACCGGTGACAGACGTGGCGGAAAGGTCATTATTTACCCATCCTTTATTAATTAATTAATTCAATCATCAAACAAGGGTCTGTGTACCTTTGTATGCCCACAAATTATGTAACTTAGTGATTAATTCTTCCACTCCATATCCTGTTTTGGCACTAAGTAAAGCAACATGCTTGATATTTGAAGCTGGTATGCCACTGTGAGCAAGACTGTCAGCCAGGTGCTTATGGATCCGATGCAGATAGCCACGGCTGTCTGGTGGCAGCAAATCCACCTTGTTGCCGACAACAACAATTGGCTGCTTATGGCCTGTAACAAGGAACAAATTTCATATTTTGGAATTATAGCAACAAATAAAAATTGCATTCATGAAAGAATTAAGATGAGACTAAAATCAAGGAATGCTTGCTAATATTTAGTACACCAGCTTCTGTCTTCCCATCTAAAATCTTCTGATTACAATTAATATATGAAACTTTTACTATGATTTAAGGTTCTCATGACAGTGAGTATGAAGAATGCTGTCTTCTGGGGTACTACAACCCAGACGACATCCATCTTCTTATAGGACTTTTATTTTACTTGTCCTGCATGAGTGTAATACTTGATTTTCCATCCTGAGGGAATTAACACTCTGTTCCATGGTATAGTTAACAAGGAACATTATATCTTACTGTTCCTTAGTCGAATGTCTAAGTTTGTTAGATTTTCAACTTCAAACATGGATACACCATTTTTATGATGGGGAGGTACTAATTCTCTGGTAACAGAACCCAAAGATTCTATATCACTGGAAGCAAACCCATCACTGGACACAATTTTTAGCCCTTATGTCTAATTCACCATATAACCAGTTCCCTCAAATTCAATATAATATTTTCTCATCTTAGTCTTCCAGTTCCCCCAAAAAATTCTGTGTACATTTGTTTCTCTCATGCAGAGAGAGATACTATGTATGAAGAATCAGAAATTGTGCAAAAGGAATCTGATGGGCTTACTGCCTGGTATTTGCTTGAAGGAACTATAGAAAACTAATAAAAACCTGTAATGACAGCTCGTACTCCAGTTCAGATACATAATAGTATCTCAAGAAAAAAATTCAGGCAAGTTACAACTCTGTAAATATGCCTGCTCAAAATATGTGAAATACAGACATCTTCCAACATCATTTCCATGATACTGAGCTACTGTAAGACACACTACACATACCAACAATATTCATAATCCCCGGCCAAATGCTGCAAGGAAAATCCAAGATATCAACCATCAGAATTATCAAGGATACTTTCTGCTTCAAATGTGTCATCAATTTTGGATAGTCATCTGGAGAAACAATCACATTCAAAGCAACGTCATAGAAACGCATTAAGTGACAGCGTTGACAGACAACTGCACGAAGCGAGGCCTTATCCTGTTGCTTAAACAGTTCACTGGGAAGGTATCCTGGAATAGCTGTGTCCTGCAAGCATAAAAATCCTAATCTCACGTTGCTTGTACGTGTAATACACAATTCTTATGTCTCCTAACTGCCTGGTGGTTGCCTAGAGACCATACAATATATAATGCCGAAGTGATGTATATCCACAGTTCTATCATAACCAGCAATAACATACAATTCAAGACATAAAGTGGTTTATATGACATTTAACAGATTTCTTTCCATGCAGCACTAAGGTAGTAAAGAACAGAATTTACTTCATTTCATAGATCCTTCACAGTTCTAAGCCAAGGATGTAGAACATGCCATAGCACACATATAACACTTGTTTCTAATACAAATATACATTATAAGGTTAGTGTTTGGCACATGAAGCTTATATTTGTATCTTGTATCAAACAAGCTAAGACCCACACAGGGTTATAACGCTATAAGAAGAAGAAGAAGACTTATACTGTGGATATCTCATTTGTATGAAATTTTGATGTTTTACACTACAAATTATAATTATGAGAGCAACAATTTGCTAGCTAGTGGAATAATATTATATTTCTTAAATAATTATTGTTTCTAGCACTACACTACTATTCATATGCCAATTAATATAATAATGTGACTTTTTCTGTTCACATACTATACCCAGACACATTCTACAATAAAAAAGTTTCTTTACTTCCGTACACCTTATTTTAAGAGAAATCGGGGTACAGAACAGGGAATTTATCTGCAATGAAACAAACTCAAAGCTTACAATTTCACCCGTACACATAAAATTAAATGTCCAACTGATTGGAGCTTACAAGAAATTACCTGACAATGAAGCATAGCACCACAACCTCCACATGGAACATCACTAATGGGAGTCGTTATATCTGGTGTTCCATAATTCATCTCCCACGGTTTTGTATTCTTAAACACATTTCCATTCTCATCATAACATTCATAATCTGACATCCAACTTGAAACACCACTGTTCGACACTGTTGTAGAAAATTCAGTCCAATTTGAACTATCAAGTTCAGATTTAAACATCTGTTGATCTGGAAGATCGATACTCTCTTTCATTCCTTGCTGTTGAACTTCAGCACTGATAAGAGTATTCAATTCTGTCTCAATGCTATATGGAAGGCATACAATTTCATTTTCTGACTCAGAACTTTTTATTTCATTTTTATTTGTTGCATGTATTTCTGGTGTATCTGTTATGTATTTCAAGGCAACAGGTATATTGCTCCAACGATCTTTCTTATTTATTTTTGAAACTTTAAGCTTTTCTTGTCTGTCTTTCAAAACTCTTCGCTTTTTCCAGTCTCCTTCAAATTTTGAAAATTCTAAAACCGAATTAAATATTATCTTATTGCTAACGGAATTCAATTTGCTTTTTAATTCCTCTGTTTCTCCCTCTTGAATAACATTTACATTTGTTTTATGGGACACATAATGCAAATTCTGAATCTGACCACAACAAATTTGTTGGCCCGATACAAATGTCTGGCTTATGGGCAAATATTTCCGTCCATGTAGCTTTATACAAGGTGTATAGCTACGTGTTATAAATAAATGTTGTGTTCGCATGAAAAATGGAACCACTGATCCACATATCAAAACATGGTATATTCTTCTCTGTAATCTTGATAAATGACTCACACATCCAGCCATTGTTTGTAATAAAGTACTCAAAATTCTCATTGACTTTCCATACTCTTGTCTATGGGAACAAATACTTATTAGCTTCTGCAAAAATTGTTGTTGAATGGAGGTTAGGGTTGATTAAGTGGGGAGGTGAGCCGCATAATACTCTATACTAATCTTAATATTTTTTACTTCACGTTTGCAGACACTAGACTCTTGCTTTCAGCTTGACAGGGACACACTCTTTTCGTGTCTCTTAGCTCAATAACAGAAAAATAACTCATTTTACACAAACCCATGTGACAGAACTGCCGATTTTCTAACCTCATGCAATGAACACATGCCACCACAGACAATTACATTAAGAATGGTAGAAACTCACACTTCAACGTTGGTAACAAACATTGTCTTGAAGCTACGTATACATACTCTTTTCATTAATATAATGTAAGTGCATTCTGATGGTAATAATTGGTCATTCATTTTCATTTCCGTGTCTGGCAGCGCCAAAATATTATTTTTCCAAAATTCTGCGGTGACAATCGCCCTGTCGTTAGATAGCATCAAATTCTATTGCATACAGACTTCGCTCATCTTTGGACACATAGGTAGATGCTCTGAGTCTCCGCAGCCACACCGATGTAATGATTTGTATAAAACCATGATTGGAGCAACTTCCAAGAGATCGGTTGGCAACATGAACTACCAACCAACTTAACCTTCCAACCCTTAACCCTCTCAATCCAACAGTTAAATCCAAAATAACCGACCCGCATAGGATCAAACCCACCACCGATTAAAGACTTCCAAATAACCTTCCAGGATTTGTCCAGCACTTCTCCATGACAAAAGAACTTCTGTATAACCTCTTCAGGACTTCTCCTACGATATACTAGGACTTATCTAGGACACAACCTAACCCATCTTAAAACAACCTTATCTAACCTAAACAACTAAACTTTACCTAACCTAACCTCAGAGTGGCGGATCGTGAGTATGAGCAGCGGTAGTGCCGCGCAAGGGGGAAAAATTAGAAGTTTTTCAACACATAACGATATAAATAAATGAAAATTAAATTTACATCAGGAGAAAACCCATACATGCTCGACAATATTTTAACCATTTGTAAGTTCAGAAGAGAGGGCCATGATTTTTTACACTTCCTTTGCTCATTATCAGAATAAAATTAGTCAGTGCACAGAATTATTGAACACTCATTAACAATAACCACTAAAGTTTGTGATACAGAAACCAGTCTAAAACACGTGGTACCGGGCAAGGGTGCAGCTCTTATCCACGGACCACCACTGGTCTCTAGTACACTTCTGTCTTGCAAGATTTACCAGAGGTAAGGCATGTTTGTCAACAGGCTTGGATTCAATATACTTGTCCAATGTGACAAAGTTTTAATTGAAGTCACAGTCACTTGTGCATCACCTCATTTTGGAGCAGACACTTAGACTTTAAATAAATGACAGGAAAAAATTATAGGGTTGAATAAGAACAAAGTCATGTCAAATATCAATCTCATTTTCAATTGAATTGTAAAGTGTGACAATATTTTACATTTCTTCACAATTCAAAGGATATTTGTTTATTAAAAAAGGTTCTCTACAAGGACATTATATTTAATTATTGTAAACTGAATATTAGTTGTAGAAAAGCCACCTGGAGACATTACCAATGTTTTTATAAGTTCTGTATATTGGGGATTTGTACCCACCACTTCAAATAACAACAAAGATGTAGAAACTATGATACTTTTTACACAGGTACTAGACCACACTGCACAAACAAAGAGGGCACTTGTACAACTTGCTATCAAAACTTGAGGGTCCTTTGAACAAAAACCCTCACCTTCAACTATCCAATTAATGTTTTCAAGGAGAATATAAATGGTGTTTAATTTTTTATCTAGTTTCAGTGTTTCTACACTGCTTAACTAGGGTTGTCAATCAGTATTAATAATATAATACAATACAATATTACATGACATTGGTGAATCAATTTTTAATATAAAAATACCCACACCATCAATTCACTATAAAGTGAAATGTAAAGATGAAAAATGCCTCTACTGTTATCAGCTTTTCTTTACTGTTGGTATTATGCAAGCTGTACAGGTGTAAATTGGCTGTCTGTATTCGGTTTTATCAGTAAATACTTTTGGTAGTAAGCTGAGTTGAATATATTCTTTTGAAAGTGCACATGGGTACAGAAATGTAAAATATAACACACAATCCATAGCCAACCTGATGGAATGTAAAAATTATGGTTTTGGGGTAAATGAACAAAAAAGTAACACTGCTCAAAGCACATAATATTCATTAACCAATATCTGTTGTAAGTGTGTGATCCAAATGGAAATTCATACTGATTGACAACTCTATGTTTAACCTCTTAAAGTAGGTGCAATCTTAATGCGCATCAACACAAACATCTCCCACAAAGGTAAAATGTCACAAAATGTCTTCCACATATCTATCGCAGTTACAAAATGGGAGTATTTTGTTTCTTGTTTAGTGCTGTTCTGTTTCTGACAATGATTTCTATCTTCAACTCATGTATTTGCACAATTTAAATAACACCCACTGCTGAGTTACATTGGGCTCTCTGTAACTAAAAGCATGAGAACCATTACAAAACCTCTTGTGAGTGTAAGGGGAATAGTATTGTGCATGCGTACTGCGGTCAGACTGATGTGATCCACACTTCTACTGACTTCAAAATATGAAGTTCATCCATTATGAGATTTAAGGTTCTTATGGAAACAGTATGTTTCTTCAAAATAGTCTACATGGCATCAAAACCCAGAACATCATCAATTTAATCCGTTAAATTTATTCATGTGCATTTTTTTTCCACATAGTAAAGTTTCACTCATGAGGCATGCCACTATGCAACACGCTATAACAAAAAGATAAGAGAGAATCAGAGCAATTCCAGCACCACAGCTCATAAAATCAGCCTGTTCACTATTCCTGTTAACAACTTTCTTCATCTGCTTTTGTAAATAATACTCATCATTCCAAATCTTCTGTGAACATTTGTCTGTTAAGTGATTAATATTCCTATCCTCAATTGATCAACAGAGTAGCTGCACAGAGACTGAACAGGTTCACTCAGCAGTAAATCATCTTCCTGAGGAATCTAATCTGAATCTTGAATCCATCTAAATTGTTTAGTGATAATAAACTAGTGTACTGCATGCCTCATGAGCTATGCTCAAGTTTAATAATCATCTACACACACATACAATTTCACACTCAAATATCATGATACAGTTTACAGATCTTATGAGTTCTTAAAATTTTATACCTGCAGTCTATTCACACTCAGAAGTGAATCTGAAATGGTATGAAAGGTTTTAAGATTACTGAAATGGTATTCTCAGTTCAGATCTCCAAAGCCTACATTTAGCTTCACTGTCCACACACACTGTCAGTACAGACTACATATACTGAAGTTTCAACTTCAAGTCTGATGCATGTCTTTCACTGTGATAGTTAACGATTGGCAAAACCTGTTTAAAGAATCTTCTTAGCTCAAGTGAAATAACTTCTGTACTACACACCACCAAAAGTAAAAGAAAATAACTTATGCTTCTCAACATTTTAGGCAACAAATGCTATCAACAAAATTATCTATGAGAATGTGTGATTTAGAAAGAGAAAAAGAGTGTTACGGTGGTATTCCCCGCAAAATTTAATCAGCTCTGTGGCTAAGAAACTACCTTCTTTACATGAAACATTCTTTAATGGGTATCCCACACCAAGAAATATGCTTCTGCATTCAAATTTATTCACATTCATTACAAAACAATGTAATGACAATGAATGACAAAGATTTCATGTACCCAGCATAACATTACATGGGAACACTTCAATTATTTCAGAGCTGTTTAGAAGTATGAATGGTCAAACTTAATTTTTCATCTTAAAAAACATCAAAATTAAGTTTGTGCTGCTAAGCTAAATAATCCATGAATGGGCGGAAAGGAATTTATGAAATCTATAGTCAGATATGACGACACAGAAAATGGTATTATTTGTGAACTGGGGCACATTCTGCTATATCTGTTATGACCTGAGCGACAAATGCTGATGGATAGTTTTTATATTGCGTACAATTTATAAACACGTTTACAGAAGGTTTGCAAAATATTTTCATTTTTAACACTTCATGTTTCCCATTTTGGGCACAAAGCCCTTGTATTAATCAAATGTGAGGAAACACCATGGTAATTCTTGCAGACTGTGACAAAACTCAGCACAAAGAGGGACAATTTAAGATTGAAAATATTACCATATGCGTAAAGAATCATACACTAATACAATCTGGTGGACAGTGGGCAGCCAAATAAAATGTCAATCTAATTCTACTACACTTGCCAAGTCAAAATTTTGGACATGCTCACAAAAAATGTTTTAACTTTCTCCAATAGAAGGAAGAATGTTCATTAGAAGACATACATGTCAGAATAAGGACCCATCAGTAGACCAAAACTCTCTTGTTACATGTCTTGTGGGTCTCTGCTCTGCCAAGTGCTTCTTTAAACTGTTCAATATAGTTTTTATTTTCATTTGCTGAATTTGGGCAAAGTACAGTATTCGAGACTTCACTGTGATAACTTCTCTACACCCTATGCCATAACTTGTTGCCATGCAACACTTACCAGATGTCCTACCATACTATGGTATTTTTCAGCGGAATTGGCGGCCGAGTCAAGTTCTACTCTTTGTGAGTGACCAATCAGCGCAAAGATCTGTTGGTAAGCAGCTAGACCTCAGTCTGTTCAAAAACCCCGTGGTAGAAGCATCGGCAGCCGCACTGCATTGTTGTCAATTCTTACATGTTCTTTGCGTAGTGTTGTAACCATTCACTGGAATCCAATGTTCCACGATGCTACATGTGGCACCAATCTATGTTGTTTCCTCACTATCTAGCCCCTCCACCTACCACCACTACTTCCTACCAAGGCACAGTACATGTGATTGGTACACGCTTCAGCCGCCAATTCAGCTGAAAACTGTTATAGTAATCAATACTGATCAAATGTACAAATAAAATAAAAACAAAAAATTCAAAAGAAACTCGTATAAAAACAAAGAGTTGTAAAACCCTCAGCTGCTTTACCAACTATTTAGATACATGACCACACTGTAAAATATTACATTAACAAAATGATAGGCCTGTTTCAAAAATGTTTTAACATGTATGCTCCATTCACAACCAACATGAATATTTCTCAATAAAATATTATTTCAGATTTACATTACACAAAGTTTTTAATTCATAAATGAAACTTTTATAAAAAAAATGACAAGTTGTAGCAGAATTGTAACATATTACTATAATACAAAGTGGTCAAGAGTTTCAATATACAACTTTCATGTGAAATCAAACCACACTGTGTTGTGCTATGCAGGAGATGACGTGTTAGAATATGCATTGGTGAAAAAATTATATATTTCTGACAAAAACTGAATTATTGTTGTTATAAAGTAATTCATACTGCCTGTTTGCAATTTATTTTGCATGTTAAAATACCAAATTTATCTCACAAACCTATATTAAGATTCTGTACACTTGGCGGACAATATCATGGGACTTCCACATCTTCAGCTCAATTATGACTGGTTTTTGATGAGAATTACATACTCCATCAGGAGCTAAAGCCTTCAAACATTTATGTATACACTCACATACCTGTGTACCCTCTCTGTTGGACCACAATCCAACAGAACTCAGACTATGTTGCTACTAGGATTTTCTTCTCAAAAACTTACCAATATGGAAGGAACAATACAAGACCACAGAATGGAATCCCATGCTTTATGAAATTAAATGTTCTGCAAAAAATGCAGTGTCTCACAAAACTGACAGTTTTTGTTTTGAGAAATTCCATAGGATAAAAAATAAATGCATTAAATTAATATTGATTTTTGAAGTAAGAAATAATATATTTATACATGAAATAAATGAAATATTGCTTTGATATCTAAATCCAGCCAACTGCCAATTTCTTCTTCACTAACAGGGAAAACATTAACTGCATGAAACATAATTGTACAGAATAGTTTAAATAATACCACTCTGTACATTACATTGAGCGGATATATGACAGTCATACTATCTAACCTGCATAGGTTGTAATACTTACAAATTCTAAAACTATTAACTGATCCTGTAACACACGTAACTAAAACCTATTTTAATATTGTATATCACACAGGACATCAAAACCAAAAAGGCACTTTACACAGGCAGAGAGTCTGGTCATGTATCACCAGTATCTAGAGAGAGCTGCATTATTTCTCCTCATATTCTGAAGAGCACAAGGCGTACACTGAAACCTCAAACACTGGGCACTTCAATACTAAAACAGTAAAAATGTCATCATCCTATTTCCATTAGTGGCATCTTACAAAAAATAACATGAAAGAATATTAAATACAATACAAAAGTATATTTAAAATAAAACTGAAAAAAATAAGCAAAGGGCAAAGTGCCCGAATGCTGAGAATAGACAACTAATTTCAGTGCACCTTGTTTATTGAGTATTACAAAACTGGCAGACATTTCACACACCCCATTGTCAGGAATCAACATTGGCCAACATAATACACTACATTTGGGTAAATCAAAGAGATCTCAACAGGCTGGCCATACTGGCTATGTATTCTTCAACACTCTGAGAATTACTTTGTGTTTTATACAAACTTGGGAACTTAATCAGCCAAATACCAAATACCTCCTCCTATCAAATCACAATTACCATTAACATGAAACAAAGCTACTAGAGACCTTTATACATTCTTGAACATTTCTGCATTAATTTCTTTAACCTGGCTGAACAAAAACATATTGCTTAGGAGGGGTTAATTTTCCTAAATGATAGCACTCACCAAACTATTAAGAATAAGGAACTCCGCATTATAAAGGTAAATACAAAAGGAAAAGCAGGCATGTTCTAGGCAGGATTTATCATAACCCAAAGTGATAAAATCAGAAATCATGAAACGTGCAATTTAAAAAGTTGCTCCACAACATGAAGTGGATAATAGCAAAGAGAATCTTACCTACTGTCACTGCAATCTACTAGACATGAAAATTAAGTGATCGCTATGTCACCTAAAATGAAGCCTTTATAACTGCGCACAAAATTCCTCTTGATCAGAACCTGTAGAATGGTAGTACACTATTTCTGGTGTTAAGAGAATACCTTTCTGAAAGCTGACAGCAAAGGAGCAATGGATCACCACTGTCAGCATTGCCAAACCCAGTTGAGACCTGCAGGTAATGTATCTTACGTACCACACAGCTACTCTACTTACTACATTTAAAGAAATATGTCATGATGTGTGTGTTAGAAAAAACAAAAGCATCCATAATTGAGCACTGGCAAAGCTGTAAAGAAAAGCATGAATTATGTTGGCTCACAATGAAGTGTTGAAACTGTTCTGAATGCCATGAGGACCAAGTTAATCTAGAGTATTTATGTATCTACAACAGGATGGCTCAAAACCATCATAAAACACTAGTGATGGCTTTCTTTACAGATATAAATGAGTATTCAGTAACTTCTTTGTTTCACTCACATTCCATGTTCTATACAAAAAAATGAGTTTCATTACGCATTATTTCTGTATTTACATAATAAGCCAAGTGAAATTCTTGTCAAAAAGAGATTGATTTTGAAGTATTAAAATACTTGTCAGTTGAAATGCACTATGACAATTGTACACCTAAGTTAATACTTGTGTCATATATTTGTTTTTTAGAGATTATATAAAAAATGCTTGTAGAAAAACATAAATAATCTCACTCAAATCACAAACACACTTTGCAGCCACTGTGTCACAGCTGAAAAAAGTCATTAACCAATTTCAAGTACTTCTCTATTTTTGGCAGCCACCCTCTTGATGAAAGAAAAATGGATGTTCCATTTAATGATTTGTTATATATTAAGTTGTCATTTTATAGTATTTAACAATATACCAAGAGCTGCCATCATTTAAAAGAATACCAAGTGGGGGGGGGGGGATCCACACAAAATAAAATTTTAGATTATAAAGTAAATAAATTATGCACATATTTATATATGCAGTCACCAACACACCAAATCAAAGTCTCAAACCTAGGATACTGCTATGTAATTGCTGCTGGCAGCGAAGTTCCTATATTACATGTGTTTCCTTCAGTTCAAAGATTAAAAAATCCAATAAAAAAAGGAATCTATGCACCCATTCAAAAAAATTATCAAATGATAGTACTAATTGCACATCTGACACAGGAATTGTTTCACTCGAACTTGGCAAATCTTTCCACATTTTACGTGGCAGAAAAAGTAAATGGCAAGCATTGTTTTAATTTGACAAATTTATGACAGGGCATTTTTCAGTCTTACCAAGCATGAGTATTTGAAAAATTCTCATCCACTGTAGATTTTGATTATTTCAAAACATCCAGATACTTTATTAAAAAACTAAAACTACATTATCTTTTTGTAACAAACTACTCCAGGGGAATTACTAATACTTATAAAAACTGCCGACAGTTCAGCAATCAAGGTGTGCATAAAAGCAGTATGATAAGGTTTCAGATTTGATGCTATAATTACTGGTGACTATATTTGTACACTGTAACTTAGCATCAAGTTACAGTGAAGTATACTGTTGTGACATATGATAAAATGCACTACAAACTAACAAACTATTTTAAAAAGTCGCACAATTATGTTACAAACAGATCACAAAATTATTAAAAAAAACCGTTTTAACAATAACACAGAGAGAGTGTCCCCTGCAGACATTTGGATAATACTTGTAAATAATAAGAATTATTATTATTATTATTATCATTATTCTTAATAGCATGTGCAACAGTAAAATTGCAATAAATATTTTTAAGAAAAGTCTACAAAATTACCATTTTATATAAAAAGTAAAAATTATGAATACGCAATTTAAATAGATTTTTCTCCACATCACTGTCATCATTTCATAAGTCTCTGCTAAAAGCAGTTGCTCAATGGAGTTTCACCCCAACAAATAACTTAGCTTATGATAAACCAGTCAACCTGCTAAAAGAAATAACTTACGAGAAGCAGTAATAATAAACTAATGTAGTATGATATAAAACTGTCATGTTGTTGTTGTTGTCAAACCAAAACAAGAGAGGGACTCATCTCTTTTGCAAAGTTCTGTAATACACCGACACATGAGGACTTACATAATTCCCAAACACATATTACTTTTACTATCAGTAAACATCTCTTAAAAGTTTAAGAGGAACTAACAAGTCAGAGTTTAATATTGATGGACATTATTTTCATTAACAAATAAAGTATTTATAAGTCTTTCCTCAGGGTTTAGAGATACAGTAAAACCTGGCTAATCCATACTACAAGAGGATAAAAGTTGTCTGGATTACATGATAATATAGATTGGCAGTATGATCATCTAAAGATGCTAATAAATGTAATGTATTATTAAAACTGTCACACTGGCAAAGTAGAAAGTGTGAGACATGATTATCTGGGAGTTACGTATGAAATGCTTACTTTAGCACACACACATTATGAAGGAAACAGGCTTAAAAAGCTGCTAGGTCTTTGCCACTGATGACAAGAGTTCAAAGTTGCACTGCAAAATAAGAGATCTAGTGAACAAAACTGATAATTACATTTCATTTGTCCCTGACCTCTAAAAGTTTGCTCGATTATTCTGCAGTTCCATCATCAGAATCACAAACGCAGCAGAAACATCCATGGCTATTTCTTCCTCCGTCAGATTTTGAGTGCGAGAATCTTTTTTGACTTCCAAACTCTTCAGTGATTTTCATGACTGAAACACTGGCATTTATCCTGTCAAGAATTATACTTACCCAAAATATTCAAAGTCAAAATATATCACTTCACTCTGCTTCTATTACATGCCATGATTCACACTTCAAACACAACCATGCATTACTAAGCTAGAACTGATTATGTGATGTGTGGATTACCAAGGTTTTACTGTAACAGCATATATTTTATATGTTAATTAAATGCAGTGCTTTGAGTAAAATCAACCTTGTCACATTATTAATAGGTGGCAAGTAAATTATCTTTGTATATTTAACAAAAGCAATTTTCATCATATAAATAAATTTGTATTGATTCACTTTTAAAAGAAGCTGGAATATGTGTCTGGGGACAATTTTTTCCTCAATCAGTATGAACAAAATACATGTGTTTAAGAATGGAGGAACAGACATTTATATTGTCATCGGAAAATAGCATTTGTTCTCAACAAAAGTTCACAGTATGAATAATGTTTAATTTAATTCCTTTGTAGGCAGTAAAGAAAGTATAAAAAGGCACCCTTTTAAACGAGTCTTGCTATATTTAAGAATAATTTAATTTTGATAAATACTGATAATTTCTCAGCCTGAATAACAGGGCAGAAGAGAGCAGTCATTACTTAAACTGTAATAAATGTCATGGCTAGCTGCCATCAATTGGTCATTTCAAATATTACAGGACAAATCTCACTACAACTTCAATCTGTACCACTACATAAAAAATTACCACCTGACACCTGCATAAAATGTACTTTCTTCAGTATATTTTAAGCATAATAATTGGTCAGCTGGCTCTGCAATATTCACTGATAAAGGAAAGCAAATACAAACTATGAAAAGTGCCTCTGATCAAATTACTTTGATGTTGTGATTCAATGCCTTGAAACATTTTAATACTGAATATGTATGGCTTTAACATATCCAATAATACAAAAATCAGGTTACCTTCAGAGCAAGATCCTATGTAAATGTAAAGTGCTAGCAAGATAAAATTTGTATGAGTACTTTCAAAGTAATTCTGGTTTTCATCTCCAATTTGAAGAAGGTAGGTAATAAGTAACAAAATATTAACACGTAAAAAAATCAGAATGAAACTGTTCTGGAGAATGAGTTATTGGCAACAAAACAGAAATTTTGAAGTTTTATGTAAAAACTGTGAAAACAGGACAATCTGATATCTTCATAATTCAATCATATTAATAAACATAGTTAACAGATCAAAGAATTTAAAAAGCTACAGAGAACTGAAGTCAAAAGTTGTTACTATCAAACTGTTGAAATTCATTCTTTTACAAATTTGTTCAAATGTGACTTAAAAATAAGGATCATGTAGATACAACCATGACAGTCAAGAATTCTTGTTTCATTCTGTCTCAGATTTTAAAAATGCATGTAACTCTTCCAGCATCTGAATGAATAAAGACTGTGATGATGCACGGTACTGTTTTGGGCTGAGAAGATAATACAAAGAGCCCACAGCTGAAATTGTCATACCAGCAGAGGACATGGAAAATACTCAACACCCACGCATGACACAAAACAGAAGGTAGTGACATCTGTCCTTACCATAAGAAGATCTCAGCTCCCATCTAATGCCAGAGACGTGCAAGTACAGTTTGTTCAAACCTGAGGCAGATGTAAAAATACTGACATATACAAAGAGTTAACTTTATACTAAAATATATTTGAAATAAAGATTACCACCTTCTAGGATGTTGAATCTAGAAGGCAGTCATCTTCATGCTTGCTGCAATGATAATCTAAAATCTCACAAATGTAAAATATATGTTAATTATACCATGAGATAAAGTTTTAAAACCATAAGTGTAATGTTTCTGAAAGCATGATGCAGTTTGCGGCACACAGAACACTTAAAACTGAGAAGGCACCAAGAAAAGGGACAGACACAGTACACATTTTCTGCTGAATTTAAGATGGCAATGTCAATACTGAAGATGAGCTGGTGGCTGGAGGAATGAAGTCCCAACATCATTTACAGGGGGAGCAGGAGACAGAGTTTTCTTACAAGCTGATTCATTCTAGTGCTGGCAGTCACTGTGATTCTGATAAATCAGGTAGTTTGGGTGCTACTATGTAAAGCAAATGAAATTTCTCTAAGTTTAAGGCTGAAATGTTCAAATTGAGATTGAGGTATTGCTTTTCAGATTTTATCTAAAAAATATGCACCTCTCACATGTCTATATAAATTGTAATAATACTGGTTCAGTCCATTTTTATCACGAATCGACAAGGCTGTTTGTTAAAAACCAAAATGTTCAAGCAATGTAAATTAAAAGAAATTAAAATGCTGGAAAAAGTGGATAGCAATTAAATATGTAAACAAAGTTACTTAATGTGACCTTTTGGGTTGAATAAAGCGCTCTGATTAATTCCCTTCCATTTTGAAAACACATGTTCATTAATAATGCTGTTCACCTTCCCATATCTTTTCCAAATTTGGGACAGAAACATAATAAATCAACAACGTTCCCTAACCAAAAACACATAAACATAACTCATATTTTGGAAACCAAATAATCTCAAGTTTTGGAAACTGGAACTGTTTCCGTCATCAGATAAAAATATGGAGAGCTATGATCAAAAACTAAAGCTCAGAAACACTGTACTTGCACACCTTACAGTAGGCACTTACAAATAAAAACAATTACAAGGTTCAATTGTCATCAGACTTTGTTTCGAGCATTGTTATTACTGGCAACAATGTATTAAAAATCTCATGTATTTTCTGCAGTCATCCACATGCAACATTTCTTACCTTCCATCGTCACTGAGATGATGGTTCTGAAAGTGTTGTAGAAACAAGATTCAGAGGCAAGTCAGCCATGTTTTCATCTTCATCCTCTTCTTCTCCCGCAGACTCCATCGGCTCTGTTTTCACCTGCACCATGGCGTACGCTGAAGGTACGCTGACTGCAGGAGGAAGGTGACTGTGGTTACCCGAGATGCTTTTACTACTCTCAGGTGCTGCTTGCAGCGCCAGCATTAAGTGTGGTTGAATCTGTCTCCGCAAGGCTGCCAACATATCCACTGGATCTTCATTACTGCTGCCACTGTTACCTGATTCTACAACAGTTACACACAGAAATAAAATCAATCATCACACACAACAAAGAAACAGATGATGGTACCATATTTAAAATTTATTGACTAGCTGAATGACCATTAGTTTTTCAAAAAAGGCTCTGCTCCAAAGATTGTTTTTTAATTATTAAAAAATTTATTCTGTTCACAAAACAACCAAACAACATGTGCCTAAGTTCACATTCAGACAACAGTGGGATCACGGTAATAAAACACGAACACTGCAAACCTTACAAGACCGACGGCTCTTAAACACTGAGCAAATCTGTGCAACAACTTTCTTTATCAGAACTCCGGCTTACAAAATTTGTTTCAGAACAGATATCCCTTTGAAATTTGTAATTCATTGGGAAATCATTTTTTGAATTGATATTCATGTTTAAATCTACCACTACATAAAAGTGATCACAGAACGCCAGATTTCCACAGAACATTATTTGGGAATCGCTGAACTTCATCAAACATGAATATTTTAACCTATATGCCTTTTCAAGATATTTTACACAACATCCTGCCTGTTGTTATGTCAAATTATGTGAAAAACACATCCTGACATAAAACATATATTGCGTAAATAAACATACTATTCCTATGCCGTCCGCTACCCTTCTCTCCTTTGGGCCGTCTACGTCTAGTATGTATGGTGTCACGTCGCATTGTGACCGGTCGGTTAACACCGTGAAGTTTGTAGTAGAGCCCACACGCATTGCAGACCATCTCACCCTCTGGGTTGCGTCTCCAGATTGTGGTCGTCATGGTACCACAGTTACTGCATGCTAGATCCATGCGTCGAGCTGCCAACTGTACAAATCAGAACACGAATTAAACAGTAAATGTCATCATCATCTCCTATCAAGGATTGGTCCCTGGGCCTGTTCTGGACAGTTGCTCAAGGCAACAGCAAATCTAAAAATCAAAATTATATTTACTCACACTGTAGAAGGATAATGTATACAAAAACTCAAGGCTATATTTATTGTAAGCCTCTAGTGATTGTCATGGGCCTTCATAATTTGAACTGACACTTATGTGTAAATTTGAAGGAAGAGTGGGAAGTCATCTCACACTCTCCCTAGGGATCTTAAAGAGAAAATTAAACTCCATTTAAAATAATGTACAATTCATACTGGTAGATTCTTACAGCTGCTGAACTGCATGTCACTGATAGAATTTGTTCAGACGAACTTCTAACATTCTCATTACACAGCCCTTCTCAGGTCAAAATAAAATGACTCACCCTGCCTGGTTTAACAGTAGAGATGTTACACCAAGGATTGTTACCAGTGAAATCTGGTAGAAAAGTTTCCCCACGCACATACGGAGAAACAGGGCTTCTTCTTATCACCGAAGCATCTGATTTTGATGGACAGCTTTGCTTCCTCCTGTTACCATCCTGTTTACTCACGGCTACAAGAGCCATGTTTGCTCTTGCACTTCTCTCCATTGACTTCATTGTTATTGTAAACGCTGATGGCATTTCTTCAGTTGAAGGAAGATTAGTTCGATTTCCTAGAACAGCTGCTGAGTGGGATTCCGCATTTGTTTCGGAGGCAAGTGATGATATCTGAATAGCAGAATACAGTTTACTGCGCGACTTTAATGAATGCTGGAGCGAAGTACCAATAGGAACAATGTGGTTGTTTGCTGCTGCTTCTGTTGGTGTAATCCCTAACTTCCGACATGATATGAGAGTTCGCAGAAGATTGCTGGCTTCTCCGACAGGTCTGTTTCCAATATCATGACCCTCATCTGAGCTTGACCTGGAAGTAGTTCAAGGTTTACATTATAAAGAACAGCATTATCCAAAAATGGTTGGTATCTAACAGAAGTCCACATAGCATTACAGTCAAGAACACCAACATTTACATCTTCACCTGTGTGAGAACCAAAGAATCTCACACAGAATTAACCAACTGATCTCTGTAATGGAGAAATGTTATATTTTCTTTGACATAAGAAATTAATTTTTAAATATTATTTAGATATACTTCAGCTTCAAAGTGGTAATTATGGATACGTTTATACAGAAGATGGGGTTTCAGTTAAGCATATACTATAATCACTTCCCAGGACAAGCTGCTTAATGCCACAGAGTCAATTACTACCTTGTTAATTACAAACATGTTTCTTTATAACGCATCGGTACTGAAAGGCAAATGGCTCAGAAGGAAGGCCCTATTTTGAGGTACCACCCTGGAACAACCAGTCATTCTATCGTCTTAATTGTGCTGAATACTGACCGAGCATCTGCTCTCCGCTCCCTTGATGCCTCATCATCTGGACTGCGTGTCACTGATCCACAGTTGCTCCCTTCGTTGTCTGAGTCATGTGGGCTTCCATGGCTTACACCATTCTGTTCCTCCTCCTCCTCCACCTCATCATCATCATCATCATCATCACATACCTCCTCTATCTTCAACTTCCGTTCAACTGACATGTCCAGTCCTTGATCCAGAAGCACATTCTCCCTTTCAATGTGTTCTGATGACTCATCTTCCAATTTCATCCCCTTACCTGGACCACAAAACAGTAACATACTTAATAAGTGTGATTCAATAGTTTTGTGCCCAATTTTTTTCAGTGTAATTTATGGACATTAGATACACAAGACATAATACGAAATGAAGAAATAAAAATATACTTCCTCATATCTGTCACGTGTTTTCCTATGGAGAAATCGAGAAAGCTAGTCTTGGTAACAATAAATCTAAGATCTCGTTACAGCACAATAACATACATATATAAAAAATTTATAAACATTCCAGCATAAAAAATTGGCAGTAAATATTTATTGTCTGTGTGCCAAGGCTTACATATAATCCAGCTGGTCATGTATCACAGAAGTATCTCCAATTTTCATACGATAAAGGCCCAATATTACAAATCATATTCCACCACAATATATATTGCAAAATGCCACATCTCCACTCCCTTATATTTTTACTCTTGAATAAATTGCCAGACTAAACAGGAACCCTGAAAGTGGTGTTAGTAAACAGGATGATTAATTAGGGTAACGAAGAATCAAACATCTATAGAGTGAGTAGGATTCCAGAACAATATTTCCATCTTCTCATGACTACAATGAAACCTTCTTAAAGACATTTTCGAAGAAAGTGAACAATCAGTCTTCATTAGCAGGAAGCACTTCTATAAGTATAATAAGGAAGCCCTAAAATTATTTTTCCTGTAAGTTTCTCACCTGCATTGAGGCTCACATTACTAATATATTACTCAACATCCCTGATGAATTCACTGCCGTGAAACTGGATTGATATCAATATTATAAAACTGCAAAATTAATTTTAATCTCATCTTCTAGACAATACATTCTTTCATACACAAAGAATTTGCAAGTGAGAAATTCTTTAATATGTAAAACACAATAAAAAAGGCAAAATATAAATTAATCATATAAGAAATTTTTGGAACAAAATTACTATTTTGTTTACGGTACTAAAATATCATAAATGGCAGCACAAGAATAATTTTGCTCTTCTTAAATAATTATTATCATTCAATATTCCTGAAATCACCAGTTAATATATATAACTGAAAAGTGTGTGTAAAGCGATAGTTTTTACATATGATACCAGCCTGTCATGACAGAATGCTGTATGTATCTGACAGAAAGTTATGCTTACCTGATATAACTCTGTAGGACCCACCATTCATATGCAAACCACCATCACATATGCCCTCTCCTCCTTCTGCTCTGTCTTCCTCCCCCTCCTCCTCCTGTACCTCTTCTTCGTCTAGAGGCTCCTCCTTGATTCGTAGTTCTAACGCAGCAACCATCTCCTGTGCTTCCTTGTCAATGCTCCTTTCACTGCATGGAGACGCAGATGTCGTTTCATCCTGAACACCATTTTGATCAGCCTTTTTAATGCTACAGTCCACCAAATTTTCAGTCTCTTTCTTCACTGACACCTGTCAAAGCACAAGTAAGTACAACTCACATAGCACTGTTTACGGAAAACAAAGAACAACTTTCACAAAGTCCTCAAAAAGAAGGTTTATTTATTTAATATATATAAAGAAATACATGAAGTTCTAGTTTTTGTTAAATTATGGGTAATTTGAAATATAAAGCACAACTCGTATTTTTAACTTGTATCTCCAGTAGCGGGTAGGAACTCTCTTCGGAGATAGTCCTACTTCAGGGAAGTGAGTGCCCCTGCCTACGCGAACTCTGGATTCCTCTTGACCTAAGACTATTGAAGAATGACTTCCCTAAAGGCCTGTCACCGTATATTCACAGGCGACAATCACATATTGATTGTACCGGTAGTGATACTGCGATGGAGAAGGCAACGAGAAACCACTCCATTATAATTCCGTATATTCACAGGCGACAATCACATATTGATTGTACCGGTAGTGATACTGCGATGGAGAAGGCAACGAGAAACCACTCCATTATAATTCCCTATTACAATCAAGCATGGCAGAGACAAATGAACTTATGGCTCAAATTGCTATGCTAATCGCCAACATCCGGAACGGATAGGCACTTTAAGAAGAAGAATCCATTTATCCTATCATTGGAAAATTATAACAAGGGTCTTGAAACTAGGATTCAATGTCTAAGGTTAAATTACAGAACACTGCAACAACACCAGCAGTAACCAGAATATTTTAGCAGAGAACTTTATGAACAGAACCTATGACGACATTTTCATTTAATAGCTTTAATGTATGTTTTAACCACTGCATTTTTAATTCTTTGTTAATATCATGCCTTTATAACAAATTCACTCCAGTATGTTACTATCTTTAAAAATTGCAACTCTTTCCTTCCATTTGAAATTATTATATACAGTGCAGGTAAAAAAACTCCCCATTAATTAATGTTCCATACACTTTATTATATATTTTCTGGGTATGAAAGGCAGTTCATGAAAAATTTCTATTAATCTAAAAACAACATTTTGATTGTTTTATTTATGACAATACACAGTGTACAAGTATGTTTTTATTATGCATGATTTCCTAATTAATAATGACAGGCAACAATGTACACTTCAATTAATAGCACTAAAAGAAGCATACCATGATTTTTAAATATGTGAATTTCTTATAAAATCATGTCTGATACAAATAATGGTTGTTTACACGAAGGAACCAAAACACATATAGTTTAGGTCTCAATCAGAATCCTCTACTGACCACTTTTACTGTCGGTGTAAATGAATTGTAGTTCATTAAATAATGTAATCCAGATAAAGGAGCAATTATAGTAAATAATTCTTCATAACTGGCTGGGCCACTGAAATTTTAAGTCAAGATATGGAAAAATTATATCTACTTCAACATACTGGGTTTAAGTTGGCTTGTATGATATGGTGTTTCATTTAGCCTATTCTCAATGTTTGATTTTTACATGCTAGAAATATATTACCTGTTATCTTACAATACAGAATGCAGATAACCAACCTGTGTTGTATTGGCTAAATGACCTGGGTAGCTTAAGTATTGCTTTAAAATTACATCTGATTTTCTTGACACTTCCCTGAAGTCATACAATACGTCCAATTTGTATACACAACGATGACATATTGATGGTGGCAGAAGATCCCTCTCTGAGACCTGTGGAGCACAATTCCAAATACGTTCAAGTATTTAATACGAAATTAAACCCGAGGCACAATGGGCATAGAAATGTTGTATCTGATACTATAGAAATTTTGACAAACAATGTGGATAACTTAATGATTTGCACCTCCTCTGATATATTCACCACTTCCAATATAAAAATTATTATTCAAAATCTCTATACAAAACAAGCGACGGCTACTTCTAACGAAGTATTTAAATGCATCATTGGCTTATCAGTTGATCCAGAAGCAGTGTCTCATCAACCTTTCAAAATTCGCTACAGAATTCGCATAGAACAGGAACATGATACTACACAGTATACAAATTAATCACAAAATTGTATTCTAGTAAACATACCAATATAGAAAGACACGTCATTATTTTAAGTGGAAAGTTACGTTGAGTTCCTTCGTCATCGAAAATAGACGATTTCACACCATCACACGATAAACAAAGACGACAAAGTTCATAAAATTTCGGCGGTATGTTACACATACTGAGTATTATTGTCTTGCAAATATATAAAATCTTGAATCTTTATGCAGTAATTATTACTTTTAACACCAAAACCGCATTGTCCAATGCTTTTGACAATTCTTAAAAACTTTTTTGTCGCCAACAACACTCATTGTCGAATAACAGGAATACATCATCTCACATCACTCCGACTTGGATTGTTCAGTTTGCATGTTCAATAGTAGTGATGGTGGTTTACAAACATGGTAGCAGTAGTTTTGTATTCCAATTTTAATACCTCTATGGTGACGTCATTCTTAGCGAGGTAAAATCAAATGGAAGTCCCCATTGTGTTACAACGCAGGAGACGAAGATCGACGTCTTAATGGTCGTACGAATCTCGTGTCGCTCCTCAAAGTTGTATCGATTGCAAGGCGATAGTTATTTATAAGCAGTTCTGGGCCCATATCATTTTATCTAGTTACTTTTTACATAAGTGGATTATAATTCTGATGCTCATGGGTGTATATTTCAATTGATATGGCTAAAATCTCAGACGTCCTATTTCTTCTGAGAGGGTTTTGTAATCATGAGATTTACGACTCACTAAGCATTCATACAAAATGAAATAAATATTTTCTTGGTTTGTCACACGTGACAAAAGATGAGTACTAAGTATGCAGACAGAACATACTGATCAAGTAGATATTTTGCTTTTGATGATAAGATGGAAGTAAAAATGCGGAATATGATTGATGGGGTCCTAGTATACTACACATTTACAAATTTAAGACAATGAGATATGATGCAAGGCACTGGGTATTTAATATGGCGGTGATACATTCCCCACAATGTTGATAACCCTCTATAAGACTACACAGCATTACATACAAATACTTCCCAATTTTATTATTAAAAGACAGAACACTCACACTTCCTCATAAAATGATCTTGTATAATGTTTCCATTAATCCTTATCTCTAAGAACTCTGACTCATGATAATGGACTTAGAATCAGATTTGGAAATCAAAACAAAGATTAATTCCCTTTCTCATCATGCTTGGGGTAATTGTGAAGCCTGTCTTATTTTTCCATATTGTTTGTAATTTTTTTAGATCTTTAGCACATGTGCCACACAAAAAAATAACACAACTTTAGTGGGCAAAAAGAGTACAAGTATGAAAATATAATTATATACCAACTCCCATTAATTTAGGATAAATTAAAGACTAATATATTGGTTATAGTAAGATTATCTTGAAGTCTGTATTACTACTTACCATTTTATATCAAAACATCATTTTAACCAACATCTTACACTCTGATTCCTATGTTGCAGTCTTTATCAGAGTTCTGTGTCTGTAAATATAAAACATGCTCCTTTTTTTGTCAATGTCCAGTAAACTTGATGCTTCACAGTAAATTCACAACTGATGATAATCAATCAGAACTAAATCTGTATCCACCATTCCACAGCTTCCATGATTTGACAAACCAGGCAGTAGATGAATCTGTAACATCTGCAGTATATACTATGTATTCAGCATTTAGTCATGGTAACCCTTTTAATGTCAGTCTCCCAAGACCCTATATATACAAATAAATCCACATGATTTATGTTTATTTTCATGCAGAGATTAATGATTAGTGCAGCTGATGTCAACTTTTGTCAAATACAATTTATATTTTTTACCACTGATGGCAAAACTTTTACCTGCACCATAAAAGGATAATCAACATTTGGCAAATTCATTTTATCACTTTTAATATAAATCTGATCATTCTTGGAACAGAAGCAATTAGTCTGCCTTGTTTTAAAATCCACTGAAACTGAGAAACTCTGTAGGAAGACAGAAACAAACTTTGTTCAGAGATGGCTGTTTTCTGGGTTGTTGCACCACGTAGTCTGATAAAGGTCCTTGCTGCCTCTACCATCATGGCACTGAGGATGGAGGCAGCAAGTACCTCAAAACTTCTACCAGACTACACAGTGCTACAACTGAAAAGACAATCAGTCATTTTTGTGCTCAATGCCATAAGAACCTCAAATCAAACTTCGTTCAATTCAGACAATGATCACTGAAACATCATCAGCTGTGATATTTTTACAAAGCCACAAAAATGCCCAAATGCCTCGGTTTACAATCAAGCACATTTTGTACAATGCAACATGCACCTCAGATGTTTCCAATATGGAGAGAAAATTTCTGATATTCATTTTCACTGACAGCCATAACAGGTGATACCAAATCTTACACTTCCAATACATTATAACATACAAATATTTATCCAATGCCATACACAGTTGTAACTTAAGATGTACGTACATTATATACAAAATATTAACACAATATATAATTTATAATATTGTTACATATCACAGTTTCCATAGTAATGAAGCATCCCAAAAACAACTGAAGTGGACCTACTTAGCAGGTGATGGAATGCATAATGGATTGATTATAAAAATACAGGCTTTCTTCACTATTCTGACATATAACACACACTGAAATTATGCACTGTTCATGCATCTGTCATATAATAAATCATCCCATGGAGCAATCAGTATTCCTGTTCAGATGACAGAATTTTTTTAGATTCAATAACAAATGTTTTCTGATAGTTTCTGCCACAGACTGTCCTTATGTGATACTTTGTTGTTCAGTGAATCAGAGCGTTATGAAAAGTTCTGGTTCAAATGAATACACATAAAAATTAATAAAAATGCCCCAACAAGGTTAAAAAATGTATTGCCAATATTTTCAAAAGGTGTTTTATGAGATTCATGCAGCTCTTATTGTGCATGCGATTAGAAAATAAAATATAACCTTTGAAGGTGTTCTATTGGTTTCTCAGAGTTAACAGTCCGTACAGACATATGAAATATATCCACAAGCAAACCATGAACTTTTTCAATGAGATATTGATGTAAACTGAAAGCAAAGATATATATGATTTTATAGACTTGAAAAATGAATAAAATGTGTAATAATATATTTAATATGATAGGTAGAAGAGTTATAAACAAAAAATTAAAAATACCTCAGCATAAGAAATTTTGGGTCCTGAGGAGATACAAGATGGTACTTTATATACAGCATAACCTCCAAATAACAAAGTATAAAATTCTGGGTCTGCAGTCTTTTCTTTTCTTTTATTGGAGGGTTTATAATGTTTAGATCAGGATCTGAGAAACCATTCCAACTTTTATTTACATCATAAGTTCAATAGCAGGTGAATCTTATGTCCACTTTGCTACAAATTAACTTATAACCTTTCTTTAATTTACAGGGTCACTTCATAAGACAGATAATTAAATGGACAAATATCAATGATAACTTCTGTTATTTTCATTCTTAAACGTTTTGCCCTTTCTCAACAATTGTAAAACAGTTATTTGTTACATTCCTTCACTTTGGTACTACAATATTATTTATGGATTTATCATTAAATCAGGACTGAATATACTCCACATCCCTATTGACAAACTGACTTGTTTTTTTCATAACATTTTTACAGACAGTTTACATACTCAAGTTTCACTAAGCCCAGTTCAGCAAGAATTTAGGAAAATTCTTCATGCAGATAATTCAGAGGGCTATCCTGTACGTGTTAAACTGAACGATGTGTTAACTCGAAAACCTAACCTATTAATTCATCAGTTAACAAAGTATTACAAAAGACAATCTCTGATACTACTGATTGTCATACTCCTTTCATAATCTGATAAACAACAGGTGAAAAAGGTGTAAAATTTCTCGAAGCACTTTGGATTCTCTAATTGAACCACAGAACAAACTATATTACCGACAGTAGATCTAAAATACATATCAAACTGTCAAGGGTTACAGTGTTGCTTCACGGTCTGTAAGAAAATTATGAATATTAAAAAAAATATTCATCACAATTCATCTTTAGTAGATGTAACATGTGGTACAGAATCTCTCACACGAGTAACCGCCACCTCTGTATAAAAGTCTAATTTTTTAACACTGTTCTGATATTTTTTGTAAATTTCTTGTATAGCAATGTATTCAATGCTGTCTTCTTGAAGCCTATCTATTGAGCCTAGGATAAGGTGAACTTCCTTCAGATGCTGAAGTCTACATACAATGCATTTCAGCTGTTTATGAGTGGCAGTACGATAAAAATGTAGTTGAGAAGAGTTCAATGAAGATGACACCTTCAAGACATGCCACCTCATTTTTGTTGACCTGTACTGCTTCAGTGTGCTAGCAATAGCAGTCAGACACTCGCGTCGCACACGAGCGATGCAGTCTCTTGCTGCATCAACATTCTGCTGTTTGCCCCAACCAGCACATAAGCCCACCATTCCCCAAAAACACCTTTCTTCTGGATCCAGATTTGCCAATACAAATTTTACCAAATTTGAAACTGTTAATGGATAGTGCCGTGGAAAAACATGGCTCTCTGATTTCCTGTACACACAAAGAGAAACATGAAACTAATAAACACACTCTCTCTGATAAGTGTTCAAGCTAAAGACCTATTAACTGTTTCCAGTCCAACACACTGAGTCTAACTAAACATCCAATTCCACTATGATTTTTTGCCCTTATGTGTGAAGGTTCCTGCCATCTATCATTGGCCATATAAATTATCTGAAGTTTGCTGTTGAAGAACTTGCATTTGTCAATGAAAATGACTGCAGTATACTAATGGAAATCACCTTTAAATAAAACAACTGCATGCCATGCACAAGGAACATGTTATGAAGTGTTCCACACGAACTTTCCTGGTCCTATCAGATAATATACACACTACACATGATGCACGCACAAAGTATGGCCATTCGCAATTGCATGGGGAGGGGGGTTTGTATGCGCACGCGCACATGTGTGTGAGTGTATATATTCTCTTCAGCTTTACTAGAATAAAATTAGAAGAATATGTACTTTTTACGGGATTTTAAACAATAAAAAAGAGTGATGCCCAAATCAATATTATATACATGGAGTGCATGATTCTTGAAGCTTCAGTTAGTGCGTTAAAAATAATGTGAAATTCTGGGTTAAACAACTTCATGAATTATGTTCTATTTATGCATTACTAATGACAGGGACTTAAAAATACACAGTAACGACAAAATTTTTCACATAATGTGCACTCAGTGGAGAATATTTCCATTTTACACTTTTTCAAACACGTTTACATTCAGCAGCCAATGGGCCAAAGTTTACATTGACTATAACATACCTGTGAGCTGGGAAGAAAAGAATAGTGGGATAATGGTGCATAGTGAACTCCCATGGCAAATCATTGTTTTCACCATCAATGCGCGTGAATATGATGTGCTGGACGGCACGGAAGTATCTTGCTACTGTGAGGTAGATGTGGGAAATGATGTGGCAGAAAGTGCAATATGGGGAATGGTACAAAAGTACCACTGCCTAGAACAAAACAGGAAATGATTAGTTTTATACATGTACATACAGAATCTTGCTGCAGTTGGATTGTGGTCAACTTAATGTGATCTTAAATATGGAAGACAATGAAGGTTTTAAAACATTCTTCAAAAATCTCTGTTTGAATCCAAACTGACAAATATTAATGAATTTCACAGAATGAAATTTCAATGTTAACGCAAGTGTTCATAGTGGAAAATCTTGCAAATTGAGAAGCTGCTGCAAACATTCTTTTAAAGTTTAGTTCCATGTGTGCTTACTTTAATGTTGTAACTTTTTGAGATCAACATTTGCAGGAACCTACCTAATTTGTCACTAATATGCAACAAAAACCCTCCATCATTTTTATGGACACTGTCATATTTTTCTTCTGTAACTGGACACCTAGTGCCATACATTACACAATACAATTCTCTGATTAAAAATTACAATTTTCAGCACTTGCCACGTTCTGAGCCATGACAGTGCGATGGAAGCTGTTGGAGTTGAGCTCCGTGACACAGAGCACACCCTGTCGCTGGCAGTCTTCCACGTCCTGCTTAGGGTAGTGGTTGAGTGCACCACGTGGCAGAATGCTACTTGACCGCAGCAACCTGTTCAAAACGCCATCAGTGTAGTTTTTTATGAACTCCAACACAGCTCCCTTGTTGAACTCTGCATTGAGGGTGTAACTGCTTTCTTGCTAGAACACCAAATTTCAATACATTTTTAAAAGGATGTCAAATATAATGTAGGTAAGTTATAACCCTTAAAGAGCAGATAGTTAAACAAATGGACTGATCCTTAAGGGGAGAATATTTATACAAATATATCCTCACTAATTTCTAGTGTGTTTTCACTTTAAAAGTACTTGCCTTCTGCCATCACACAAGGAAACCAATGTGTCCTCCAGATTTATTTGGTTTCCAACAAATGCAATACCATAATCATTCCTAAAGGTGAAGATTTAATGCTCGTCTAAAAATCTGTTTTGAAGAAACATACATAAAGGATAATTACTTTGATACCAAAAAGCAGATCAGCACAGCTTAACCTTTGATTTTGACGTTCATGACTCTTAGGTCTTGGAGATTCTGGATGTCTCCACAGAATAAGGTGGTAAAACCTAATGTCTTTCTAAACTTTAACCAAATAAACACTGATATATAAACTGTTTGTACTTAAATAAATACCCTACTTACAACAACATTGAAGATAACAACAGCAGTCTTATCATGCCTTGCCATCACATCGACACCGAGACCCTCAGCAAAATGGTGGAACTGTAGTGAATCCATAGCAATGAGAGACAATGTTTTGTTGGTGTGACAGGCCAGACCAGTGAAGTTTCTTGGGGACTTGCGATGGTATGCAGGATGTGGAAATACTGGATGATGAATATGCCGTGCTCTACGAAACCGACGGCACCTATCCAGTAAAGCTGCCTCCTGCAGGGCAGCTGATGAACGCTCATCCCCCATTCCAGTCAACATTGATGTCTGCAATCTAGCACGATACAGAACATGTTTGACAGCTTTTTATATAAGTATTTCCAACAATATACGTAAATTTGTTCTTTTGGACTTAGTTAATCATCTTAAATTATAAAATAATGATTTGGTAGCTGGATTGTGCTTCTATCTTCAGGTTAAAAGAGGAGAAAACAGAAAGCCTATCAGCTGGGCCCCAGGTTGAGCTACATTCAGACCTGGACCTATACATTCAGTGACATTTTTACTTCTTAAATTCCTGTAGGTAATAACTCTCAAACAGAGGGCAATGTTTTAATGTATCAAAGTATTCAATACATGCAGTACATAGCCTGGTATGTACATCTAAATGTCTCTAGCTTGTTAAATTTAAGAAAAAATTATTCATAAAATAAAAATATCTGTTATCTTACTTAAACAACTTTCATTTCTAACATCACAAATCATGTGTTATTAATTTCTTCTTTTAAGTAATGCATATCCATAGCAATAAAATATAATGTGAGTTATCTCCGTGGCATTGGTGTACTAAATTCATGTGCAGAAGATCATGTGAATGGATCATGAACATCACAACAGACATTAGTGGAATTTGATCATATGACAGTCTGCACCTAAGTCCAGAATGCCAACTCATAGGTTGCATTGCATTTCACTGTGAGAAAAAAATTTACATTACCAGAATGACAATAAATCTGTGTAATATCAAAGTAGGCTCTACATGTTCTATCCAGAACATCCAGGTTTTTTACTAAACAATGTTAAGTAGCTTTCGAGTGTCACTTTCCCACAGCCCCCACATATTCCTTGATTTTATTTTATTTGTAGTGTTCTGTCTGACGACAGGTCCATATGAACAGGATCCTTCCATCCTTTTCTCGGACTGGGACCTGTTCATATACGTTCTTGGCAGATGATCCAGAAGGTGTTTGCCATTGCCTTCTTCTGTGTGTAAATGGAGTAATTGTTGGGATGCCAGGGAGAAACCGGGGAAGCCCCCGGAGGAAAACTCCGTGTTGCCTAGACCACCTCATCTTATTATTATTTAGTGTTCTGTCTGACGACAGGTCCATATGAACAGGATTCTTCCATCCTTTTCTCGGACTGGGACCTGTTCATATACGTTCTTGGCAGATGATCCAGCAGTGGTTTGCCATTGCCTTCTTCTGTGTGTGAATGGAGTAATTGTTGGGATCCCACGGAGAAACCGGGGAAGCCCCCGGAGGAAAACTCCGTGTTGCCTAGACCACGGCCTTGCCCAACACAAGTTATAAATTTGAGCACCACCGGGAATTGAACCCGGGACCCCAGGCTTACAAGGCTAGTGTTCTGACCGCTAGACCACCGTGGCGAACATTCCTTGATTTACAGTATGAAAATCTTATCCCCAGATAAACGTTTCACAGGGCAATCCAAATTAGTGCATGTTCCAGTTCCCATTTCCCTATTACACTTGCACTTACCTACTGACAGAGTGCGAGTGTTTAGAACAGACATAATATTCGTGCTGTAATTTGGTGAATGGTCCAAAATCCATGTGGTTACTGGAAGAGACAATCTCTTCTTTCTTACACTTGTTCGAATCATTTTCATCCATGCGGGCATCACCTTCTGGTTCTCCACATAGCTGTGCGCTGTGCCTTTCACACGCGCTACACAGCTTCCTCCGAACATGTCTACTGTGACAACTTTCATTCATCCACAGTTCTCCATCCAAGTGAATGGGATGAATATCTTGCTCTGATCTGTTGTGTTCTTTCCAGAATACACATTCAGCTTCAATTTCAGAGTATTTCTTCTTCATTTCTGAAAAATAGGGACAGATTACCTATATTAAATAATTCTGTGAAGGAAAAATTATTACCATTACCATCACCTGCCATCAAAATGTGTAAGAAAACCAGCCACACATTGACAGTGAAACTTAATCATCATGAATAAAAACAAATATATCTATGATCTAACTGAAAGAAAAGAAAAACAAGAATTTGAATAATCAGTATTCAGTGCGTCAATTACATACAAGTTTTAATCACAGATTGGTGAAACTGGATAATGATCACAAAGAAGAAAACTTTACTCAATATTTATTAGTTTTTGCATGTTTATACTAAATATGTGAAATTAATATGTAAAATTAATTTTTTATGGAAACATGTTTCTCAGTAGTGTCATCTTAGATTTGAAAAAACCTTCCATTCTTCTAAACATGATATGCTTTAGCTAAAACTACTTATGGTTTGTAAGATTTGAGGTTTTCACAGCGGTGAGTATGAAGATTTCTGTCTTCCGGGTTGTGGCGCTGTGTAGTCTGGTCGATCTTAACCAACGTTTCAGAGGTCATACTGCCTCCGTCATCAGGGCGATGAATATGCCAATAGGGTGTGTGGGGCTAGGTTTATAGGAGCCGGACTGTGAATAGAGTAGCCTGCCCCGAGCCAATTGGAGCAGGCGTGGGAGTGGACCAATAGGAGCACGTGGGTGAGTGTGAGAGAGGGGGCTCGGGAAGTGTGTCCGGTGGGACATTAGGAGGTCGGTTGAACTCCTTTTACACAGAAATTATGAAGATACTTTATTCTGGCTAAAGCCCACATGGAATATGAAAAAAGAGTATGATAAGAGGGGGGGGGGGGCCCTCAGGAAGTGCATCTGGTGGGACATCGGGAGGTCGGTTATGGTTTCTAATCATAGGGGTTTATAAATATAACTCCTCAGAATATTACCTGCTCGTTCATTAGCAAGGTGACTGGCAAGATTAGAGACCCATGGGTTTATATTACAGTTGTAATATTCTAGTCCAACTTCTCTCAGCTGCAAACACAAAACAAATGTTATCACCCGCCGCTATGTCACTTCACTGCCACGTAAAATGAAGATGACTGTCTTCGGGGACGCTGGGCTCTGAGACTCATGAGGGTGTTGAGTCACCCTGATGATGGAGGCAACAGGCACTTCTGAAATGTCAGTGATATAAATGAAGACGAAAATTCTGTTACTACATAACTTGCCTTTTAAAATCATTTTCCTGATTCTAAACAAAGTCAGTTAAGAAAATCTGAGCTAAATGTTCGCTGATGAATTATGGTACATTTCTAAGTGACACTGGTCACCATAGCTTTCTTGCTTCCCTTCAAAACTGGCCCTCAGTATGCGGTCTGCAGGAAACACTCACCATGTTGTAGTTGTAGTTCTTGTCTTGCAAGGGGTTTCTTGGGGTGAAAAGGATAAGCACCGATCCTCTGTCTACATACGGTGCAAGAGTAAGACTCTTCACACCTGGTGGAGTCACCCATGCTGAAACCTGATGAGTATTTGCAGAGATCCACTGTACCAACACATCAGAAGTGAACTCTGCTTGATGGGGGTATTGCTGCAATGATGTTACAAACTGTATGTAAAGTAAACTTCACCTTTTGGGGATAAGTTGCGTTGGACACTAAATATTTTCTGTTTATAAAACTCAACACAGCTTACCACCAAAATTCAAAGTTATACATTTAACTCCAGCTGCAAAAACCTATGGACAAGAAAGTGTATTTAGTTTAACATCATCATTCTTTGATGGGTGCCACTGGAGACTGGTATCAAACTGATTCTTAACTTTTTTATGTCGTATAGGTTATGTAGTAGCCCATAAGATTATACTGGAGCATCATGTTGCGGAATCAAATTAAGTGCTGTTAAGTGCCTGTCTCTACATAAGAATACCAATATGAAGGTGCTCACTAACTAGACTATGCAAGCAATGCTGTAATAATCTCTAACATCAACCTTTACTGTTCTAAACATCTTAACTATGTTACAATACAAGCGTAAAACACACGTCTCCCACCAAAGCTAGACACAAGCTAACTAAAGCTCTGCCATAACATGTAACATGTGAATATAAAAACAAAATCTCTCTCTATACACAAATACAGCTTCTGTACTTCATTCTTCACAATCATCTGTCTGCATGAAATAATTATCCTCCAGATAACCAAATTATTGTAAAATCCAGTATTATATGTGCGCTTATTAACATTTATCAATGAAATTAAATTTGATTTTGGTCCAAAACTGGAAAACATGAAATGTCACTCAACATGAAGGCTGTACAATTTTTACATAACTTAAAAAAAGAGTAGATATATAAACATTTTAGACAAAAGTTCTGGTAGTAATTGTAGTTTGTTGTTTATTTAACACTGCTATTTCAGTGGCTTGGGCTATATAGTGTTGACACACAAAAGTTATAAAGTCATCAATAAGATTGTTATTTTAAACTGTATTCTTCTTCACACAGCTGGACATCAATTTCAAAATGAACTCTCACAACAAATTGTCACATACCAGCGTCTCATTCCACATGTAAATTCTCAATGTTGGCGACCAATCAATCCACAACTCAGCACACGTCTTCATACTGGTAACAACAGCAAAGCCAACTTCTCGGTGAGGATCTCTCTCGAGGAACTTCAGGGCTGCTGCATAGAAGGAATAATAACCAGGACTGCCAATGCTCCCAGCAAAATTAAAACATCCAACAACTACAGCCTGTTGAAGAAAATAACATAGAGAAAGGACGGTGGTCAACGGACATTACGAAAGAATATGTACGGAGGTGTCTAGTGAGAGTCATGGGTTCAACACCTTTATACCCACAAATATAAGATTACACAAAAATGTTTAGGTATACAAAAAAAATATTCTAAAAAATACAGTCAAGATAAAAAGATATAGCAACCCTTTCACATTTTTCATTTCTAACCTAATTCATACCAATACAAATTAATACAGCTGAAAATTAAGAAATGAACTGTCAATGATGAGCATTATCACACTTACTGAACAGATAAATAAAATCAGTGCTGACATCACTTCATACAAGTACGACTGATAGGAAGATGCAAAACATGTATAAAAGCAAAATTACGTTTAAAAATTTAAAAAAAGAGCTCAAGCCTTTCAACATATCTGTAATAACAACTGAAGTATATAATTAGTAATTTTTAATATAACTTTCATGTTCTTTAAGTTTTTATACTTTTACATAAAAAGTACCCTTCGTATGTGTAAAATGGGGTGATGATGTCAACAGATTTCAAAACATGGTAACCTTTGATATTTGATGTTTCACGCTATATGTTGTGATGAACTATAACAGTGAATACACATAATGAACAATCTAGCTCTACATATAACACAACAATACGACACACAAACGCAATAATCTGTTTGGTCCCTTGAGGCTGAGATTCGCTTTACCCAATGGACCTAACAGACAACTTTCACATAACGACAGAAGCACAGCCAACTTCCAAAATCTTGCATGCTTTTAACCAAGAACATGCACTTGCATTTCATGATAAATAATGGGCAGAGGTGAGTACTAACATCATATACACTCATGAGTGTCATGACATCAGAAAGACTTGTGATGCGTTCAAGAGGACGCAGCACATACTGCAGGAAACGAATCATATGAGCAGCTTCTCTGATTCCTTTGTACTGGACTCCCTTATTATGTTGTATGTACACAATTAACACCGGAAACTGCTGTATTCTGGAAAACTTCTGACGACACTCACTGTGAGGTTGCCAGCAATTGATGGCTGCAAAGTACACCTGAAACATAATATAGTGACACACTTAGCAGATGTGCGAGTTGTGGAACTGATATTACACATAACACTTCAACTGTGAAGATGAAGGTGACACATTCCTCTGAAATATTACTTACCACCCACAACATTACATGGTATCATAACCCAGAAGATTATAATCAACAGAAAAAATTCCAATTGTTCCTCTGGGTTATGACACCACGGCAGTCATGCAGGTGGTTACTGACATTTTGAAGCACCTTCGAGACAACTGAATTGTTGCTAATCATCTAAATAACACGTCATGACCCAGGAAATCACAACTCATATTTTTGTATTAACCATTTCCAGGTGAAAATTAATGTACTGCTGATATCGCATACTTAACTCTGACATCAGATGTCAACATGTAATTGCTACATGTTCTCTGTGTCAATGTCAGACATCAGTAATAACATGCTTGCTCGAATTTGTATATGCTGCTATTTGGAAAAGTCTTTAAACAAACAACTGAAATTATACACATCAATGTACAACAATGTTCACTGGCAGCAAACAGCTGAAAATCATAACCAGCTTATTTCCTATGACTTCTGTTGGAAGCTGAAGAGATATTCACTAGATAAATCTGTGGGTACTGACATAGTCATTTGGATATTTTGGAACTGGGACGATAAGATGATGGGCACAGAAAATGAGAAATCAAGTCATGTAACAATGTGCAGAAAGCAGAAAATGTTGATAATTGGAAAAATATAGGGTCTGATGACAAAAAACAGATTTCTTTTTATGAAAGTTAAGGAGCTTTGTACACTTACTAAATAATGCCCCGATGCTCTTATTGAAAATTCAGTTTGTGAAATAAACAGATACAGAGCCAAGAGAATATGACATCTGCAAACATTACAATCTAATCAAAATAAAGGCTTTACAATGACCTGTTTGTAGTAATACTGTGCTACAATCTTAAACTGCATTCTTGTAGCTTGACTTTCTGCATCCCATGGAGCGTAGTACATAACAAATGAAACATCACACTCAGACACTCGTTCAAATGCTTGGCTGAGTTGTCCACGGTAAAAGTCTGCAACCAAAGATGTTCTAGGAAAGAAGGGTATAGGCGATGGACTTTTCGAAACCTTTGGAGGCCTGAAATACAAATAAACTATTAAAGTCAAGACCTAAATAAGTCATTCTAGGTGTCATTAATTATGCTGCCAACATAAAATACACTTTAAAAACATAAAACAGCTATTTGAACAAGTCTTGATGGTCACTTACGCATTGTGTAATGACGCATATGCAGTAATTATTAACAACAAAATAAAACATATTTCCCGACAATATAAATGCATATTCCAAATAAGCGTTTCTTTCGAGCCACGTCTATTTCGTTCTGCATCTCGTTCCTCCACTGTCGCTGGCATAACCATAGACATCACTCCACGTCATACGTTTATTATCAACAACGCGGATTGTAGGAACGATCGGAGATGTGAAAAATCGTCTCCCTAACTCTAGTTAAAAAGTCTAAGCATCTTAATTTACTCTGTAGCAGAATGCACGGTGGCATCATAACCCTGCTCGTCACCAAAAACAACTGACAGCAGCCATTCTGCACGTAACCTACCAGGTAGAATTACGTTGGACCAGAGATCATACAACACACTTACCTGACCCACACCAACGAGTTTCACAAACAGAATATTTGTGTTCCTTAATAAATTTATGATCAACCTATGACTACAAACACATACACTTATCGAAAGTAGTATCCAAGTCCTCATCTTGTCATTTACAATGTTGCCAACGATGATAATAATGATGGTTGACAAAGAAATATTAACATTTACAAGGGGTTGAGGGAGTTTGGTGTATGGATGTATAACACTTAGCGTTCAGTAATGCCGTGCGAATGTAAATATTTCAGCAAATCTGCTAACAGTACGCTCAAACAGTTAAGAACTTCCCCATCGTGTATGGAACCCGAAGTTTGTTACCGTTTTCACAAGAGCCCGTCACATGTCCTGAGTCAGGTTAATCCAATCCACGCACCATGTTTCCCGAATATCTATTTTAATATTATCCTTCCATCTATTCCTTGGTCTTACGTGTCGTCTTTGTTGCAGTAAATTGCAGTATTATGGAAACATTGCTAGTTTTTGTTCCTTGTGCACTATATAACGAGGAACCTGGTACTTTGTATGGGGTTGTACAAGAAACTAAGGAAGAATATGTGAAGTGCTATTTCGTTATTGGAAAGGCTGAAGGCCTAAATGAAAATTATGGAGTAGAGAAGTGTAATATTATTGGATATTATTGTAAAGGTTCATCATCAATTGTTTCATTCAAACAGAAGAGTGATTGGGTAGTCTTGGGTTTATGTGGTTCTGAATTCATTTTGCATGTAATAGTGAGTGCTGGAAATGTTGTGGATATGTCAAAACCATGTCAGACCGTTTGCATTATATATGATCATGAAAAGTTCATTCAGTCTGAACTCTTTCTTCAAAGTTTGGAGCCTGATGGCTCTCTGTATGGAGATCACTTCAAAATGTTGGCTAGTAACTTGAACTCTGTATCACTAAAAAATTCACGTGTCCGGCCATTTAGTTCAGTAATATTAAAGAATGTGCTCTCACAGCAAATAATCAGATTATTATTATGTATAGCAAATATTCTGCTAAATTGTATTACTTTCACGCATCCTGTTTTAAAATATACAGCACTAGAATTACATTTGCAAACTTTCCTTAAAAGTCTAATATGGATTCTGCAGTCAGCCTCTTGTAAGAAAATTCTTTCAGTTAAAGTTTGGAATTACATTGTTGCTACCATTGTTGATGTATGTTGCGGGATGCTTCTACTTTATTGGCTTACTGCTGTTACATCTTCACCCCCACAACTACTACTGGAGTCTGGAGAGGTATGTACAGTTATGTCTCCATTCCTTATATAACCCTCGTACCACTTCACATGAATTAGACATAAGTCTGTCTTCCTTCCTATGAAGAAGATACACTGTTTAGGACTTGCCCACTTTGTCATTGGATCAGTGTGAAGGTCTTCACAAATTAAGATCAGCACATAATGGCATTAAAAATGTGCATAGAAATCACTGAACTTAGATTTTAATTATAATATATATAGATAAAATGTTTCTCAACTTTCCATATTTGTTTCATGTTAAATGCTACTTACTTGCAGGTCGTGGTAACGACTTTACGAGAATTGCTGCAGTG